GGCAGTACTGTGACATACAGTTTACATAGATGATTAGCTCGGGGGGGGGGGGGAAAGAAACTTGTGTCAATTAGTTTTGAAGTGGAGCAGAGGAGTAGGTGATCATTTCTCGCCATCCTAAATCGAGACAACCCTTGTTGTTTATGTTTTATCTTTTCTTGTGGCTAATTTGCATATGGATGATGTAGACTTTGGGAGGACTTTGAATATTAATTTTGAATAAAAAGCTCTGCTCAGCCTGAGTAATGAGTTCTCTTTGATCTTCTGCAAGGGAATTTTAATGGACCAAGACCTTGCCTTTTGACACCTTTTTGTGATCTACCTGATTTCCCCTGAGAGTCCCAGGCCAAATGGACAGGCTACAAAGCCAAACAGGGCACAAGGATATAGAAACTCATAAAGAACTGGTGGAACAGAGTTAAAAAACAAACAAACAAACAAAAAGCCAGTTCAGATAAAAACATTGATAGCTAATGTCTGAGCTGCTTGTGTCAGTCTAATTTTTTTTTTTTTTTGGCAAAATTGTAACACCATTAGCTATGTGAATAGCAAAATCATTCTTCATGCAGGTTTTGTTCATGAGTTTAATTTTTTACAAATGTAAAAAATGAATTATACCCTCACACCAAAAATTGGAGGAAAAAAAATGAAGAAAAAGTAGATTTAGGGAAAATAACTTCTTCAATTAACACATAATCTTTGAACCAAGTATCATGAAAACACACCAAGTGAAAATATGAAATAGAACTTTAAGAACTGGAGAACTGGAGAACTGGTTCTCTCCAGAAAGAGTTAAATATTTGATTTTAGAGAAGAGAAATGGATGTCAAATCATTGAAAGGAAGAAAAAGGGGACTGAAATGCTGTTAAACTTTAGACGAAGCCAGTAAACAAGAAGGGAGGAAAGATCTGAAAAACTGAATTAGGAAGAGTGATACTTAGAAATGGAAATATAAAAGTGGCTCGTGGCAAGAATCCTATGTAGGTATATAAGAATAAAAAGAATAAATAAATAAAAATAAATAAATAAAAAGAAATGGAGGAGTTCAGATGAAGATATTAAATGTCAAACTGAGACTCTCAGAAGTGTAGATCAGAAGGGACCACTAATAGAAGCAAAAAATGGAGACACTTGAAAGCAGAGGAATATGTGTTTTATTACCAATTCTCTCAGACATCCAAGGACTGCTGCAAAAATCACAGCTCACCTGGCCTCCATTTCTTCATCTGTAAAATGAAGCTACAGTTCATCTGGATTAGTTTAGAACCATAGACTCGTGAAATCCTTAGATTTGGAAGGGACCTCTGAAGGCCATCTAGTCCAGCTCCCTCGCAATGAACAGGAACATCCATAGCTAGACCAAGTTTTCTATTTCTGTAACTATTTCTAAAGCTTTTAGGAGAGCTGGATGAAAATACTAGCAAATCAGGGGAGAAAAAAAAAATACAGACATGCTGAAAATTCTGCACTAAATGAAGCAAGAATTTGGGAAGGCCCCTAAATACAGCAACACAGAAATTAGGGCCTGAGATCACGAGTACAAATACCAAGAGAGTGACAGCAGCTGATACATGAGGTGCTTCAAAAATACCACCTGCAAGAGGCAATATCAGGAAAGGGCTCAGATTTGACTGATTTCCCTCAGTGTTCGTCAGGAACAAGGCTAAGAATGTGAGCAGGAGATGGGATGTTGTGAAAGCACCAGTAGACATGTCTGTCAAGGGAAATGCTGAGAAGTATAGCATGGCATTTTAAAAACTGTGGGAAATTATCTTTTCACTGAAACAGGCTGAGAAGTCAGGATGGCACTCGTTCACTTGATTGACTGCTGAAATTTGTAATTCAGCTCTTCTGCAGCTCACAGTGAGCAGAGGTGACACCGTTGTAAAAAAGCTGTCAGGGCACTGCTTGTTTCACTGCCCCGTCCTCGCACCAAAGTGGCTTTAGGTAAAGGCCACAGTCACAGCTGTAAGAAAGAGAATGTATCTCAGGAGAGCGGGCTGGCCTAGAAAGAATGGCAATGAACTACACAAAAACCATAATCTGTATGAAGCTGTAGAAGAACAGTGTACAGAACCGGGCTGCCAGGCACTGGGCTATTCTCTTCTCAGCTGTGGCAATGATTTTTCTATTGTTAATGAAGGGATCAATGAAAAATAGGCTGTTGCTCCTCAGATAGCAAATATTTCATGGACGGTTGGACTGGATGATCTTGGAGGTCTTTTCCAATCTTGGTGATTTTATAATTTCAATTAGAAGAGATTTCTTTGCTCGTGTACTGATGAATTTTGGTTCAGTTTTTCAAGAAAGGAAACTGCAAAGTAGGCATATTAAGACATCTAAATGCAAATACTGATTTCCTTCTTTAAATACAAAAGATTAGCTCTGTCAGCAGCACCATTCAGTTCCCAACAAGAACTTTGCCAAGTCCTGCTTTGGTGACTGTCTCCTAAAATTGTAAGAATTAGTAATAAATACATGGAAAAAAAAATCAGAAATAATGAAATATTTCTTAAAAATTTCAAAAACACACCCAATTTTCTCATTACTTACCTCAGGAGTGACTCAGTGGATGGTTTTAATTATATCAAATATAGTTCCCTTTTTTTTTCCCCCTTTTTTCTCTTAATATTTTGGCCTTGTTTTAAAGTTACTTATATTCTTATAGTTTCATATTTGCAGTTCATATCGCAAGAAGGAACTTTGGGTTTCTGCAAGTTATTCTTTCCCACAGCACAGTACTATTACCTAACTATAGCATGACGTAGAAAAGTGTTCAGGAAAAAGTTGTCTGAAAAGAACATCTGAAGTTTTCGAGAACCTGCTTTTTGTAGAAAAGGCTCTTAGTTCTAAGTGTTGTGCTGTCTAAAACAATATTCCACCTCACTCTCTAATAGATACAACTGCAGCCGTATGAAGCTAGTAGTATCTTGAAGGTTTATTCAGGCAATGTAGAAAAATCTCTCACTCAGAACTGTATGCTCATTCTAAAACTACCAACATCTACATAGCTTACCACTTCCCTTTTCACTGTTAGCATGCAGGACATAAGGAGTCTGTGCTTCCCCTGTTAACAAACGCCTGCAATGGCAACAAGCTTCAAAATCGATTTCACATACACTGTTCGGGGATAAATGTGGCTACAGTCTCAGTATCTATCAAGGGATATTTGGTCTCCTAAATAATTTTGAAACTGTGGCGTTCAGATACAAAGGGCTTTGATAAAGAAATGATTGTAGTGACTGCATTTGAGCTTGCTGTCTTAAAATGAAATAGGAGGCAGGAGAAAGTCACAGGCTTTGTAAAGATTTGTAATCCTGATGAGTTGTACATTGTTTAAAACAAGCTCCAAAATTTACCTTCAAAGTTCAGACCGAGTTACTAAATTCTTCCTGTTGTTTTCCCCTGTGAGTGTTGCAGCACTCTGATTACTTTCCTCCATCATCCGCTAATGATGGTATCTCCAACCTCTTGACTTACTAATCCTCACCGAGCTATGGCTGCAGCTCTTGTAAACTGAACCCACTTATTGAGATCGCATCAGGCTCTCTCATACAGATCAGCACTTCACAGTGAGTGCTCTCAGAAGGAAACAGAGAGCCTCCTTATCTGCACTATGAGAGGTCTGCAGAGTTGAATAGTAAAGGACATTCAAAACTACTAAAGGGAAACAATTCATAGAATCACAGAATGGCTCAAGTTGGAAGGGACATCAAAGCCCACCCAGTCTCACGCCCCTGTCATGGGCAGGGCTGTCCTTCACCAGCTCAGGCTGCCCAGGGCCCCATCCAGACTGGCCTTGATTGTCTGGGCATCCCTGAACTTTTCCTTAAATTTGCCTTTAGCAGGAGAAAGATACAGATTGAGATTTTTGGCTACAGATTACATTGCTTGAAACACACACATGAAGAGATTTAAGTGTACTGTGATTTACTCATCTTCAAACTTCGTTAATGCCAACAGCATCTGTGTTAATGGTACCTTCAACAGTCAGCTGAGTTGGTGCACCAAACCCTATAGAAGGGCCTCCAAGTTATGTAGGGCTGCACAAGTATGAAGACTAGCTTAGGTGTTTGGTTTTGTTATCAAGTATAGTAAACACAGTGACAGTTTAATGCATCTTGAATGCAGATACTGCAGAAGCTGACTTTTTTCCCTGTTATTGACTGTAGTAATATATGGAGCTGTATACAAGGGCCCGTATCAAATATAAGTATCAGAAAGGCTGAGAGGGAGAAGAACGGCTTTCCTCAGTGACCAGTTCAAAGCACAAGTAGGGCTGTATTTGTGTTTTGATGCGTTGATAAATGCTTGTGCCACTGGTGTGTGTCCACACGTGAGCAGCTTTAAGAAAGAAAAGCTGCTAAATTTCTATTGTTCGTCGCTCAAAAATAAATCAGGCTAGAATTCTTGAACAGAGACAAGAAAATTTGGTTTAAAAAAGCTCTTAGTTCTCCGAAGTCGGGCATTTATTTTTTGTGTTACTCAATGTCTTTAAGTATCTAAAGCATCACGCCCACTTATTGCTGTTACACTGTCGGTGACACCAAAGGCACGGGTGAAATTAGCGAGGCGAGGAAGCGCTAATCTCTTTCTAAGAACGAATTCTCAGTAGCACCAGCTTACTCTTAGGGCACCCAACAACTCAAGGGGCTTCCGCCCCTGCTGTACCTTCTACTGTTACCACATTAAAGATTCAAGTAATTTCTTCTTCACCCCGCCCTCCCCCTCCCCACCAAAGCTTATGGCTTTTGGTCGAAAACTTCAGCTCACGGTGCTTTTTCATCATTTTAAATCATTCCCTCCCGCCGTTGCTACGGCGACAGCGTGACTTGTGAGCGACCATAGACACGCCCGCCGCGGCCTAGAAAGGCGCTACTCGCGGCCTGTCCCCCTCCGGGCCGCCGTATTTCCGGCCAGGCACTTCCGGTTGCTGCTGGTCCCGGAGGAGGAGGAGGAATACAGTCGCAGCGGGGGCTGCGCCGCCCGGCCCAGCGCGGCCTCCTCCGCCCTCCGCCCCGTGACGCCCCCGGGGTGGCAGCGGCTCCGCCGGCGGCAGGTGAGGGCCGGGCCGGGGCTGTGGCGGGCGTTGGTTCCCGGTTTGGGGTAGGGCCGAGCCGCGCCCGCCGGCCTACGCATCGCATTGCGGTCCCTGCGGGAGGGCGGCCGGGCCCGAGGCCTCTTCCTGGTCACTCCGAAAGGCCCCGGTGTGTGGCGCGGGCCCGGAGCTAGCTGCGGGCGGGCTGCCTGCCTCCCGCCCTTCCTCCACAATGCTGGCCGGGCACCGTGCGGGGCCGTGCCCAGGAAGAGGTGGAGTTGAGGAGGGAGCTGGGAGCTCGTTCGCTGGTAGAGGGAAAGACTGCTGGGTGCTGCGTCCGTGTCGTGCCCCTCGGACGTGTTCTGTGCCAAGGCAGTTGGGGCTGTAAGTGTGCCTGTATGTCTGTTGCAGCTGGCTGCCTGTTCTCAAGTCACTGGTAAAATGTGGAAGCTGTGTGGTGTCGTCTGATAAATGGGTATTGTGCTGGGGGTTGTGTGCAAACAATATGTAGTTCTGGTGTTGCTTGGGTTATGTCTCTGAGGTTCTGTTTTTGCCTCAGACCATCTCACAGCCTTCCTTCTTGCCTTCTGTGACCTCAGTGTGTGGTCAGTATCTGACGTGTTTTTTCTGTGCTTGGTGGGACTGCTAACAAGGATCTGTTATCAGCTTTATCTCTGTATAAAGAGATAACAGAAATGTTCTTCTGCTATGCTGGGAACTGTGTTGTGTGGTCAGAGCAACTCCAAACTGAGCAGTTGTCTGATTCACATGTATGTCTCTTTGTATGTGTGTGCGTACACAACTAGAATGTGAGGCATTGATTAGGTACAGAGGAATGTTAGGTGGGAAGAATGATATTGAGACATTATGTTAATCTCAAGGTTCTCTATGTTTTGGTAGAAGTTCAGACCATTATAGGAACCCATGGCTTAGGTGATCAGGAGTGGAGCGTGGCTTGACCTGGAGCTGGCAGTGTGTTAGCTGCTTGCAGTACTCAGTCTGCATCTCTACAGTGTTCTATAACTCTCAGATATGACTAGCTTTTGTAGGAGGAGCAGAAGTGGAACTGCAAGAGTGCAAAGAGGAAACTATATTGTGGTTGCAGCAGAAAGTGTTTACTGCATTCTTAATTCCTTAAAAGAAGCAAAACTAAGAATTAGTGGTGATGTCCTTAGTTATAAGTCAAAAGTAAGGAAACATGCTTGACTTCGTTATTTTCTATCTGTCTTTGCATTTTCTGTAGTGTTTCAGCAACTTTTATTTCACCAGATGCAGAACCAGTAATAACACAGTAACTGCAATAAACTTTAACGGGACAGAAGACTTTCATCTTATTGGCAATTCATTTATTAATAAATAAATGTAAGTGAAGGAGCCAGTGCATCCAGCTTAGGAAAGCAAATGTAAGTGTTGAGAATCCTGTGGTGCTCATTTCTAAGACCGTAAGAGTTACCAATTAAGTAATGTAAACTACATTAAGAATGAAGTCCTTTTTCAAATTTGGTTTATTGCTGATAACGTGCTTTGTTTGTACTTGCTCTTAATCCATAAATGTGCTCGTATAACTGCTGATTATAATTGGTTATGTGTTCTGGAGGATGCTTAGGGTGTTGTTTTTAAGCTCTCACGTGGTTAACTTCTGCCAGCTGAAGAAATGATATGTTAAAATGTCTGGTTTTGTGCCATTCTGGGATACTCAGTGTGGTTGCTGGAATTCCAAAGTGTGTGTTTAGTGCATGTGTTGTGCCTGTGTCTTGGGCTTGTTACTGCCACCCAGCCTTCTCTTTCAAGGCAAACAATGCTCATTTTTCAGTGCTCTCCGTAGTTATGGGGACAACTTCCGTCAGCAGGAGAGAGGTGATGTAAATTTCTGTTTGCTTTGGGCAGGCTCATTGACTTACTTGGAACAAGGTTTTTCTGCTTCTTGCAAAACAAGTTTTTCATTTCATGTAATTTTTGAAGTAAATGTTTAAAGTTTAAACCTGAGTTTCTTTTGTGTGATCTTGGGCTCTGGTGGGTGGTGCAAGTATTACAGCTTTGAGTTGTGTTTTTCCCCACAGCTCTGCACTCTGTGAGTGTTTGCAAGCTGCTCTCACTGTTTGGCTCCTGTTATTGCAGGGTGGAGGTGAGCTGCTCAGTGATGTTTGCAGCAACATATGGCTGTGCATGAAACCATACACAAAAAAGTGGTCAAGTGACAGAATCATACAATGCTCTGATGGAGTCAGAAGGGTTCTGTGCATACTCAGATGTTCCAGCTGTCTCAGTAACAAGTTGGTCATATATGGACAGAAAGAATAAGAAAGATGCGATTATGTGTTAACTATAGGTCAGAGAAAAGGAAACATGGACAGATTGGATGACTGTGCTTTGTATCTTCTAGCTGCTGAGGGTAGGTCTGGCATGTTTCATGGCTCGATCATCTGCACTCTTCTTCTGCCTTAGCTGTGAGATAGAAGATGCTATTTAGGGTACTATGAGTACCATTGTAAAAGATGACTTGTTATGTTGTGAGTGTTCTGACTGCTTTCAGGAAAGCAGTGCTACATAAACTTGGGGGGGGGGAGGGGGGAGGGAGGAGTGTAGCATAGCAAATAAATTTTAAAAGCTTTAAATGTCTTCTTGTTTTTACACAGTATCTCTGCACGGATTTGTGAGGTTTGTGCCCCTAGGTTACATCAAGAGTTCTTTTAGTTATCAAGACTTTTCTTGCTGCGTATCACATTTAATAACCTTAATTAGCCAGCTCTGCTGTATGACTTTTTGTACTAGCAGTTTTTTTTCCTGATTGATTTGAATACAAGTATTAGTAGGTAGGAGGGAAATCCAGCCTCATTCAGTGGTAGCCCTGAGTGAATTGCAGCCTTTCTGGAGGAGTTCTCTTATTTAACCTTGTTTTTACAAAGCCAACTGGGACATTATTTAGTGTAATAGGAGCTAGGTGGTTCAGTTTCTCATTCTCTGTGTCCTTATTTTAGTTCCCCTGTTGCACAGGATGCTTACCTTGCTAACTATTTGTTATAATTAGTATGTTTTATACCTTGGAAAATTGAAATAGGATATGAATAGTGATCATTCTCAGATTTTTTCTGATCTGGTGCATGACTAAATCTGTACAGAGTGGTGCAAAGCTCACTAAACTTCAGTCATGTGTGATTATAGTGAGTACTGACAGTCTGTTTAATTTTTAATGACAGGTTGTCTCTTCCTTGCAAAGCATTGAGGGAGTTGTGGTATCACCTGTCCTTACTACCCATGTGAAATCAAATGTGGGTCACGTACCTAAAATAAGTAAGAAACTTAGATACCTGTCATAACCATGCTACTCACTGAGTTGGTTTCTGGTGTATGTGTTGACTGTTACTGAATTTCTTTCTTTCAGTAGGTAAGGTGTTCCTTTTAAACAAGATAATACAATTGAAAGATGACTCTTGCCAATTAGTAAGCTGTTCAGTCTGTTGTGCCTAGATTCCAGTGACTTAGGATCAACATAAACTCACATAGTATACATATGCTTCATCTCTTAGCAAAATCTAGAAAAACTGCGTGCTTTGTAATGGTAGGATGCAAGAGGTGTGTTGTTGCAGATGAAAGTAAATATCGGCTGAAGAACTTCGTTTACTTTCTGGGTTTTAGGTTGCAAGGTCAGTGTTTTGTGCAGGGAAGATGTCTTGGATAGGAGCTTATGCTGCTAGACTGTAGTCATTGTCTTCGTTGGACTTCAGTGACCTAAAGACCCAGTCCACCTCTAAGAAGGAGGCTTCTTTTTGCTTCAGTAGAGCTTGCAAAAGAAATTTCTCCTGCAATTTTTGCTTCCATTTCTTGAAGATTCCTTCACGTCAATTAATGCATGCCATCACTATTTTATTTTCAGGTATGTCAGAACACAGGAATGAATCCACAGCACTTGATGAAATTCATCCAGCTGGAGAAGAGGTCCAGTCTGACTCTGAGGTGACTGAGTGATAGCTGTATTAGTGTCAAATCAGCCCATCCTGGCAATGGTTTTGGGCTCCTGGAGAGGTTGATTCGCGTGGCACAGGGTAGTTAGTGTGGGGATGTAAGTTTGTGAGTAATCGTGAATGGGAGGGTTTGATTTTGAGATGTTGGAGGAAGTCCAGTTAACTGACAAGAAGGGATTACTTCAAGCAGTGGTTGTCACTGTGCTGCAGGGTTTGCTTCACAAGCTGAATGGATTTAGGCAGCATAGAGTCTAAAATGGGTAAGTACAGCAGAAAGAAGGGATTATTACTTCAAGGTAGTAGTTCTTGTGCAACATTGTGTAGCGAGGCATTGTGTTTGCTGGTGGAGTGGTGGATCTGGGCTGCTTTGGCTTTCTTTTTCGTGGGATCAAATTCAGTTTGCATCTCCATTGTGAGCAAATTGTTGAAGTTCCCACTTGTCTATAGACAATTTAGGAAGCTGTTTCACAGAAATAGAGAGTAGATGTTTCCTTGGCTGCTGTAGAGTGACAGTAGAAAATATTAGTTATTTCATTCCTTTATTCATCACTACAAAGGTAGGAACTTCACTAGATTTGCTTCGGACTGTCCCTGCATACTGTTACATTTCTGAGGATGCAGCTGTATTATTTACAGCTTAAATGAGCTGTGGGCTATGCTTGCTGAAGGGACACTTCGTTCAGTAATCATACTCACTGTTTTAACAGAAATATTACTTTGAGTTGATGGTTTCATCTTCTCAGCGGTCAGTAAGCTTATTGTGACTGAGGTTTCAGGAAGCTGCATTCATAAGGGAGATGATTTCTGGTTTTGGCAGTAATCTGTATGTAGAGCGTGTGTTTTGAGATACTGTTCTCTTGTAGCTGTTCACCTGGGGCTGTGGCAGAAAGCAATTCTTCAGGTTCTTTGTACTTTCTTAGTCCATTATTGTCTCTGTTTTGTAGTTACAAGTATTGGAACTGTATAACCTCTGCTCTAAAATTGCATCAGTTTTGGAGAACTGATGGCAGTGGAAAAATTCCACAGCCCCTTTTTGAGCACAGGTCACCTTCTTTTAACCCGTGTTGTTTCTACAGTCTTGTTTGCTGAGCAAACACATATGTACTTACCTGGGGAAGAAGTAGGGGAATAAGGAAAGCTGATGTGAGAGTGAAGAATTAGGGGTAACGGGCACAAAAGGGGAGTCCTCAGAACCTCCATGTAAATCAGTGAGGGAAATACTAATCACATTCCACCCCACAACTGTAGTCAATTCATCTTAGCTTTTATGAAGTGATGGTGCAGTCACCTCTTGCCTCTATGTTATAATTAGTACACTGAGCATAAATTACTGCTACTGATGATGTACTGATTTATGTTTTGGGTGGTCAGAGCTGGGCTAATTGTTGTAGCATGTGTCAGGCTTTCGTGCATGCTCATGTTAGAGTTAGTAGAATCACAGTTGAGTGAAGTGTGAAATGAATCTTACTGTTGGAGAGGAGTTGTCCATGTTTGATGTTCTCTGTTCTTCACTCTTTCAGGACATGGTTCATCTTTTCTGTTATCACGTTGAATGTGATCAGAGTGTTTGTCCATTGTTTTGCATGTGTTCAAGTGGTTGGTAGAGGTTGTCACGTTGTAGTAGTATTCTCACCAATATGAGATTCATTCTGAGGAGGGTGGGCAGCATAGTTGTTACTATATGATGTAACCAGAGCTGATAAAGTCACATTCCATAGTTTTAGTGAAGTTACAGATATTCAACTCAAATGTTTGCATCTACAGCAATGTTGTCTGCAAGTATAAAAACACAAAAGCTTTTCATACAAACATCCCTTTTCGTAAGTGTGGTTTGAGGGGTTGCATCAAGATGTGCTTCAAAATAGCAGGTAATTTGTTTAGAACCAAGACCAGTGTCTTGTGCTTTGATAGTGTTGCTCTTATAAATAAATTGAGTCTGTTTCTTGCAAGAGTCTTTTCCAGATCTTAACCCGGGTTATTATTTGAATGCAGTGATTACGCTGCAGCTTCTAGTCTTCATAAAATAGCAGCATCTTGTTACTAACTTTGGCTCTGGAATTGCGTTGGAGCTTTCCAGTTCTGGTGTCTGCGTTTCACTATAGGTTTACTGCTGTTGGCTGAGTTGGAATTGTATGCCATCAGTTTGGTCAGAAGGTGGCGCTAAATTATGAGAAAAGCAAAAGCAAGTTAAACAACTTTAAGGCTTGGAATCATCATTTTATTTTTCTTATAAACAAGTAAATTTATTGCTTTTTTATTTTTCCTACCTAATACTTCTTGTTTATTGTTAGCCAGTACAACTTCATTTATCAAAGCCTGCCTTTGTTGTAGTTGGAGCAGCATTAACTACATCAAGAGTCAAAGTGTGTGTATGGAAAGATTAGGTTTGTGCATGGCTCTATGTCTCATTTGTCTACTCCTCTCCCATCACCTATCCTGGTGTTTCCTATTTCTTAGATCTTGAAGCTTTGTGTTATTTCGGAGATGCTCTTGCATAGTAATGTGATTTGGGTTTGTGGTGAAATGAATGTATGCAGACCTAGTATATCAGAATATTACCAAAAGGGAAATAAGTCAGCTGGCACAAGATCTACACATCAAATATTCTAATATAGATCACTCAGTGTATTCCAGAACCAAAGCTAACCTATTTCTTCTGGTACAATAGGAAGGTGCAATGGCTCAGGAATCTCCCAGAAATTCAGCAGCTGAAATTCCTGTGACGAGCAATGGACAGCTGGAAGATTCTCACGAGCACAGCTTTAACAGGGTAAGAGCTTTCCTTAGTGTCTAACAAGGTACTGTTATCAGAAATGCTGAAGTTAGAATGCAATGCGTAATGTACTTCACTTGACATAGTTTTCTCAAGTTTTTTGGTATTTTAGTTTGATAAATGTTAATCTTGTTGGCAAGAATAATAAAGAAATTCTGCCAAGGGTGCGTACAGATGGCTTGCGAAGTCAGGAGTGTGCACTTGTATGTTACTGATTTGTAAGTCCTTAGGATATCAATTTTTTTTTATCCTGACAGTTTTACCTAAGCAGGAAAGCAAACACTTAAAAAATACTGAAGCCCTGTGAAGTCCTCAAATGAGTTCTATAAGCAAGTTTCATATTGTCTAAGGCAAGCTACTTCTAAGGGAGGTTAAGTTAGGAGGTAGCACACCTGTAAGTAAAGATGGTCACTTTCTGATGTGAAGCTGTAGGTAGGGCAGAAGTAATTTTTCTATAGTTAACCTGGAAAATTTACTATTGTATTACTGTTATTAGATGATAAGTATTACACTCTGTTATGTTTGTAGCATGTGGAATGAGTTTCACCTCATCTGTATGTATCATCTGTGCTTTTCTTATCCTGATTGTATTTTTCAGCTGGTTCTTCTTTTGTTTCACTGCCCAGCAGAGGGTGCTGTGCTACAACTTTAGGGATTTGGTGTTGGTCCTCTTTGCATTTATTTTGTTTTTCGGTTTGTTTTTCAGTTGGAGATCTGGATAATTAACTCATCTTCATATTTGCTATCTGTCAATACACAGATTTTGAGGAAATCTCTAAGCTCTAACAGTTCTGTGCTCATCTGCAGTACTGAACTATTTCTAAGAGAAATAAGAAATACTGTGCACAGCTTGGACTTGTTGTTCTGTCCTATAGAACTACTGAGTAGGGGGCAGGAAAAACAATTCCTTAAGTTTAAGAAGTCATGTGCAACTGGAGCATATTTCCTGATCATGTGTAATTAAATGAAGTAGAAACTCAATTTTGATTAGGTTATGCCTACGTTTTAGGTGGGACAACTGAAGTAAACCTTAATGTGTTAGTAGGTGTAGGTTCACTTGGGAATAGAAAAGCAGATGTACTGTTTTTGAGCCTTAGAACTTTGATGATATGACTTGACTGCTGTCTCAAAGCTGTCTGTCCTTTACCTAGAAATTGCTTCTTAGGAGTAGCATGTTCAATAATTTTTTAGTATTTATGGTACATGAGATTGTACTCTTGTTGACTCGGTCACAGCACTTGTTTATTCCAAATATAATCACCATTTTCTGTGGAAAATTGAGATGTTAGTGAAGTTTTTGTCTATGGCTGCGTGGTAAAATTGAGGTAGATTCTTGCAGATGCTATGCATTTTTGTGGCTTGGAGTTAAATCTGTTCTGAAACTTCCACTAAACTCAAAAATGGATCAAGTATTTGGTTGAGTCGAAGAAAAATTATGCTGTGCGAATTTGATCATGTTTTCTGCTGTAGCTTTTAATACATTTTTGTATTTACACATTTTTTTTCATATTGGATTCAGTGAAGATGAACTTTTTGAACTGTCTTGTGCAAGTTAACACCTGCATGACCTAAACTCAGAGTATGTGATAAGTGGGGCTGCTTACAAACAAAACAAAGAAAACAATCTCCTTGAAATTAGTATCTATCTGTTTACTGATCTCTTAGTCTCAAATTTTAATATTAAGCTTCCATTCATCTTTGTGTTTATTATTTTTAATGGTTAATGCTATACTTTTTTTTTTTGTTGCCAATATTTTCAGTAATTTTTTTTGCTATAACCTAAGGCAATATTCTGCACTACAGTACTTCTATGTTGAGTTTTCAGGGGTCTTCTTCCCATTATCCTGTGGGAAGGAGAGGCCAAGCACTTGTTTTTTAGCAGGTCGCTTAAAAATGGGGCAACATGCCATTATCACGAAGTTGTGCTCTTACCGCAGTGCTCAGTAAAGTGTGTGAGCACAGAGGGATTTTGTCCACTCAAATTCTAGTGTACTTTTCAATCAAAATTTCTTGGTACTTGGGGGAATAAGGGTATTTTAGTTTTTTTTCTTATTGTTGTGGTCAGTGAGATGTACAGCTGTACATTGCATAATTCAGGTATAAGATGAAACAAAAAATAGTAATCCCGTATTTCTGTTTGCTCTTCTACTCCACTTTGCCACAAGCACTTGATAGTTGGTATGTTTTTTTGGTAGATTGAGTAAAGATGTAGTTGTACAGTGTGCTTTTCAAGATTCTGTGGTTATAAAGATTTACACGCCTTTTTAGCAGTGTCATCAGACCTCATCCATAAGCCACTCAGGCATGACATTTTGACTCAACGTGGTGTTTGTATGTTCTGAAGCATGACAAATACTTCATTTTGCAAGATAACACGATACAAATATATTTATTTTGAAGTGGCAAGGAGAATTGCTTGTTCTTTGGAAGAAAAAATGTGACTAGTTGCGCAGAATATCCAACAGAACAGATTGTAATGACGTTGCAGGAAGAAGTGTATTTGTTCCATTCTTGTGGATATATATTAAAGCACTACTTGATGCATCCTCAGTAAGTTGTAGCTCCTGTACGTTTAAGAAAAAAAGTAATGAAAAAGACATTTACAAGGTAGCTTGAGTGTTTGCTGAACTGTAAAATCTCATTTAGAAATATGCTGCTGCATATGCTGTCTAGTTTGTAATAGTAAGAAATGCCTAAGGAATTCTGACAAGTTTTGTCCTGCCTCTATGGTAAATGGAATTTTTTTTTTACTAACAAAGCCTGTAACTTAAATCATCAACGGATAAAATGTCTAATGTTTCATTACAGGAAGGCTTGAGCTGGTGCTTTTCAGCTCTCCAAGCTCTGTTGAAACTTAGTTAAGCTCTAAAGACGTGATGTTTAGAAGTGTTTGCTGATGTTTGGATGCTGTTCAGTCTGTGTTAATAACAGAGAACTTCAGTGATTACTAATTAAGCATGTTTTTCTTGCTATTTTGTACAAGAAAACACAGAAAAAAATGTTGGTTTATGTTTTTCATGGGTTTAAGTCACTTATCCCTTTCTTGTAGAACTAAGTTTTCTTCCCATGGAATTTAATTGCTATTAGAATAGTAGTAGCTTTAATGTTGCTGAAGGGATAAGAAGTGAGAAAGTATATTATTCCTTATTGAATCACATGCCATGTGATGTGCGAGCTGCATAGGAATAATTTAAAAAGCCTTATTCATTTGGTCTGCCTGTAAAGGTACTCAAGAGCCATAAGCTACTTGTTATGCTTAAACTATTGTATGAGATCTGTATTAAGTTCTGAAGGCTGCATCTCTGAAATTCTCATTTCAGTGTTTCTGTTTGCTTTCTGTGTTGCAGATCTCTTCTTCTGTCTCTTTTCCCCCTTCTATAAGGATAAAACATTGTTAAATATGTATATAACACTTGTAATTAACTTTGGGAAGAGAAATTGAACTTAATTGTTAGTATTCAATCTGTTATATTTCAAGCACAAAATAAACTTTGAGTTTTGGTGAACCTGAGTGCAAATATTTAGTATCTTGTTCTGTAATTCTATTAGGTTTCCAGGTTATGCAAATAGGTAAGGTCAACTCATTTTGTCTTTTCCCATTAAACGATCCCCCGGCCTTCTCTCTCATGTTCTACCTAAAACATCTGAGTTCTGTTTGATAGGTTTTGCTGTACTGACTGGTGTGTCTAGAACTCAATTTGTGCACTTGTATTTTAATTCACACTGGTTTTAGAACTCAGATTGGCATGTCAGTTATAGAAAACTGCTTTTGAAATGAAACCAGTTCAGTCTGTCTGTTTGTTGCCAAGCGATCTGCTTGTCTTAAAGAACAGTAATTATGAATGTGAATGATGAGAGTACAAGTGAAATAAATATTAAAGCAGATTGTGATTTGGTGTTAGGTAAGCCTAAAGGATTGTGGCAGGAAAAGCTTACCTTCTGTTTCAAGAGAAATGTATGTATTGAGAATAGAGGCAATACCAGTCCATGTTTTCTGCATGTTAGAAGTAGAATAAAGCATTAAGCATAAAAATAAATGGCAGGAGAGCTGTAATTTCTACTGATATGAAGATCTAGGGAATTCTTGGAAGATAGAGTTTGAGTGAGACAAAGGGTAGAGGAAAATGTGGGATAAGGAGCCCCGCCAGTGCGTCCATTAGGGCTCTAAGTGCAAGTTCAGAGCTCTGTATCTTACTAGATGGATGTTATGTCTACTCACTGAAGATTACATTAAAATAATCTTTAAGACTTTAAACTGGATCTTACAATATGATGTATTACAAGTTCTTCCCAAAGGTAAATTTCATGTCTTATTAAAAACATCATTGATCATTTGAAAAATATATGAGCGTGTGATTGTTTCCAGTTCTAGTTGCTCAACTTTGAATGGGCTCCTCAAATTAACAAGGAACGTGTTGGCCTGTTTTTCAATTGCTTTACTGAAAGTAATAAAGGCACCTAAAATTGTGAGTTTTGAAACTGTTGTTAGTAATAAGCCAACAGTGATACTTGGACTTTTGTTAATAATGACTGATGCAACTGTGCATTCAGTGTCATTTGTGCTGCGAAAATTCTACCCCGTGGAGAAACAAAACTGTTTTGATCTCTTTATCACTTCATTTTAAATTTGAATGTAGAGCATGGATGGGAAATGTCTTAATAGAAAGAAGTCTTTTAGCTCAGTCCACGTTTCCTTCTTTCCGTGTGTTCTGTGTGACTTCTTTGACGTGTCTACCATATCAAAAGAACTGATACAAGTTCATGCTAGTTGGCCTGTATAACAAACGGAAGAATATTGCTGTTGGAGACATTTAAATAAGGCTATTCTCATTATAATAGCATAATGTGGTGATTTGAACTAAAAGTGGAGTTTTAACCAGAGACTAACGTAGTTTAAATGCTCTGTGCTGTGCAGGTTGTTTGCACTGACTCAACTAGACCGTACTTTTATTCCTTTGGGCCGTTACCATCCTAAATGGCTGAGAATGGCATAGGTAATTCAACGTCTTGACTTCATGGGGATATTCTAAGTTGTAGTTTTTATACTTCTAATTGTGGGTTACAATGGAAATACCAGATGATAATTGCATAAACAAATGCAGTGCTTCATTCATCATTCTCAATTGTATAAGAATTAAATCATCAGTTTCTGTGGTGATGGCAATACATTACAGGCTTGGATTTTTGAGATGTATGAGTGTATCTTGAATTCTAGTGACGTTATGAAGAAGGTGTCAAATAACAAATTTGAAAGCAGGTTTTATGATCATCAAACTCTTCCTACTAGCTGGAAGAGCAGTAATTAGTCAAAACGTGTTTACCTTACTGTTGAAGGAGAATCTGACTTGACTTCCTATGTTGTAACAGCAAATATTGATGGGAAAAAGAGAGCTTTTTACGTCGCTTTCTTCTTACATTTCCAAAATATCCGTAAGCACTGTAACAGCTTCTCTTAAATGTGAAGTCTGCAAAGGTAATCTTTTCCTTACTCTAAGGTGTTTCTAAATTATCCTTGAAGTGATAAATTGCTTCATCAGAAACAGATGTCTGAGTAGCCTTTTTGTCTGTCTTTATTGCTTATAAGGAAGCACGGTCAGTTGCAAGAATCGTGCTAAACTGAAGTTTACATGCAGAAACATGTCTGTACTCAATGAAGTTAGCTGCCATGTTTGTAAACAGCAAAGAGGCAGTGGATTGGTAATCACTGATGACATTTCTCATTGCGTAAACATCTTTCTTCAGCAAGGTGTATTTCAGCTGGTTGGTATAGGTACTAAAAGCAGGCATGAATGCATTTCTTCACACTGCACTTCGTTTTTGACAACTGAAGAAAAGATACCTCTGAACAAATGTTTTGTGCTTGTTTATGCACCTAGGTGTATACGTGCCAATTAAAAAAAACCTGTCTAATATACCCCCCTTGTATATCTTAATGTATTTTCATGAACTGAGTAGTATTTTTTTTATTTTGCAGAAGGATCTTTTTGTATGTTTTATAGTATTCTGAATGATTCATTTAACTGTAGTTTGTTCAGTCTGTTTAGCTTCAAATCAAAATTGAACAGTATGTGTAAAAGAATTTTGGTTGCTTAAACTTAGATGTAAACTTCTGTATTTACAGAATAGATGTTCTGCATTTTTTATCTTGAAATACAGATGATGGCTTGGATTCCCATTTTGAACATGCTTAGGGAGGTTAGCTGTTGGGCTTCAGATTTTAATATTTTTGTGAAGTATACGATGTGCCAGGGTGCCCTTGGGGAGAAAAAAAGTTTGATGCTGTGTTCTGTTTTCCTAAATCAATGCATCTTCCTCTCTGCTATTTGGTTATCGTTATGCTTTCTTGTGGCTTCTACTGGCTTGCAACATTTTGAGTTAAATGGACTGTGAATACCAGTTGAACTAGGTTGAAGCAAAGCTTTCCGTCATACCACCAACTATGTTTACTTCAATGGAGTTACCAGTGGAAGTCAGCTGCAAAGACAAAGTATGTATCAGGTGTTGAGATCTGGTTTATTTGTGAGACCAGGTTCTGTGCAACTACTGTATGTTTTCCATGGTATGTATTGTTTCCCATTTTCTTTTTGGTATTATGCTTCAGGTACATAAATGGAGCATTATTTATATGAAATAGCCAGTTGTATGAGTACAGCTGTTGGAGTTGGTTACTCCATTTGCAGTAACATCCTCGGTTTCCCACATCAACGACATTTCTACCATATTGGGATTCACACTTGTAGCTTTTGCTTTTTCTTCCCCCTAGGTGTTTGTCTTAAACTGAAGACAAATCAGTCTGTGGAGATGTGATCCAAAGCCACTTATTCACATTCTGAGCTTTTAGGCGGTATCATTCTTAGGCAATAGCTTATATCTTGTTTGTGGACTCGATGACTGCAGTATTACATGAAACATACATTGGATTTTAAAGATGATATTTTGTGTGTAATCTTTTAATTGCAAGTATTATGAATAGTTACTGTATGTATCCAGGCAGTGGCAATTTTTTTAGAGCTATGTGTAGTTTTTGTCTATGTATTTCACTATTGCATTCTGAAATATTGCAATATTGCAATATTGCATGTTCTTTTGCGCTTCTATCTTTTCTTGCAAGGGGATGTAAAAGTATATCTAACTCCAGAAAATGCCCATTTTCTATCTTCTTGATGCATAGTTTCTTTTTTTAAGTGCATTTTACCCTTTTTCTTTTGTTTCTATAGTAGCTTTTCGTTCACTTTTTACTGTTAACAATTAGTAGTTTACGTTGCTTTGTATGCCTATAGTTTTTTTTTTTAGGCGCTAAGTATATTCCATAACAATAGAAGTTTAAACTTGAGATAGAACATGGCCAGAGCTCAAAGGGTTCCAGTGAATGGAGCTACTCCTGGTGAATGGTCACCAGTGCTGTTTCCCAGAGCTCAGTTGCACAGCACCCTCAATAACAACATGCTTTACCTCTTGCTTAGCTCTTAAGTGCCCTGGTGGCAGTTAGACTTGGTGTCTCAAGGTCTCTTCCAACCAAACTGTTCTATTGTCTTTCTTCTTCTTAGGAGGATCTTAATTTCTGCCTCAACACGTTGTTGCCAGCAAAACTTAAACAAGGGAGTTTCAGAATGTTTAAAATTGATTAATTTTAAAGGCAAGGAGAAGTAAGCAGCAAAGAGCATTTGTGATACAGGGAGGTGCTCAAAGGGAAGTTGCTGAGGGAAGATGCCTTCCTGTTTTTACTATGTCAGAGTTTGAGGAGATTTCATGTGCTGCTTATAGGAATTAAGGATTATGTGATATTTAAAGGTATTTTGAGCCTAGAGTGAAATAACTTGTATGTCTGATAGTTGTTTTCATGCTTTTGATTGTAAACCATTGTCTGCCCTTAGTCTTAGGGCTTTCTGTACCCTGATCAGTTTAATGGAAAGCATAATTAAACTGCTGTGATTGTCTGGACCACAGACAGCTTCAGACCACTAAGCATGGTGATGTAGGCCACGCTTTTGGTAATTGCTACTCAAAAAGATGCATTCTGGTTGTGCCTCAATCCTAAATTATAACAGCTTCATGTTTTCTGTAACTCTTTTTGTTGTCTTCTTGCAAATGTCAGAAGGAAAGCACGTTAAATGAACAAACCAGTGTATCTAAAATACATACACAAGCTATGCTGATTGTTTTTAATTGAAGTTTTATTTTGCGTCGTAGCAGAGTGCTGTGTCAATGGCAAGGACATTCCAGGCTAGAGGCAAACCCATCTGAGAACTGCTAAAATTACATCGTAGTACCTTGTAGTTGCTTTTAAGTTTTTTTTTTAACATTAGTTTTCCATTCTATTCAAATATTTCAAAGGACTTGAAACGTTCATTACCAGCTGGACTTGGACTTTCTGAAACCAAAATAACGTCTCATGACTTTGACAGCACCAAAGAGGGAGTTGTTGAGGCAGGACCATTTCCAGGGAAAGGTAACTTGCTTTTTAATCTCTTTCGCAGTTTATAATCTTCAGGTATATTTTATATGCTCAGAAATAACATTCTGTAGCTTCTGTGAGCATTTTTATGTAGATGTGTAGGCTGAGATGTATGTTTGTGACAGCCTTATTTTTCTCTGGTAGCTGGGGTGTTAAAATAGAACTGCTGCACTCCTATTATCTGTCAAGGGACTAATAAAACTTTGTGTTAAATTGGCCCTCACTTGCAGGAAGGGAAGTAGTTTCCTTGAAACTCTGTCAATCCAAACACTTGAACAATTACACCACTTTGAAAGTCTAGATTACAAGTGTTGTACCAATTTGAAATATAACTTTTCTTTATACACTGTTCACTAACTTGGAACAGATGAATTAGTGACATTCTTCTGTTCCCAAGTAGTCTTTCCTTCTTTAATGTAACAGTGCACATAATTTAATGTATTGTCAGAAGCGATAATACCATGGGTCTCTCCAAGTACTACGTAATTAAAATAATTTCTCTTATTTTTTCAGCACCGATTCACAGTTGTTTAGAGCAGGATAATTTCACTTGATAATCTTTAGAACATGTTAAGTCTTGTAAAGAAATAAATAAAAGTATTAAATAAAATATTTATTGGGTTAAACTTTGTGGGGGGGAAAAAGAAGGTAAGTCATGTCAGTGTTTGCCATCTGTCTAAAAACAGATGTGCTGTGATATAGTGTGTGAAAGTGATATTTTAATGAATTTCGTAGCTTAGTCTACTTCTGAATTTGAAAGGTTTGAAATGATCTCAAAGGAGCAGCTGTGAAAATAAGTCCTTTGTAGTCACACATTTAATTTGCATTTTGCTTCATTTCCTGTTTTGTAAAATGTGCTTATGAAAACAGTGATTTACATGCTGTACTGTACGTATATTACAAAGTAAATACTGTGGTTTCTTTAAGACTGAAATAAGCAGAACGCCTAGCTAAAAACTGGGCAGATGGCAAGCCTCTCATAATTCTGGCCTTTCTGTATTCTATTTGCAACATAGCTCTTGGAAGTGCTAAGTATGTTAGACTGTAAGAAAAAGAATATCTTAGATGTGTTTCAAGCTATGCTTATATGTAATAATGTAGTAAGTTTTGTACACAAATAATGAGCCTTAAACATGTAGTTTTTAACAATACAAATATCAGTTTTCCTTCAGAGACTGTTTTCAAATTATTCCTAATGTTCTATCCATATCAGGCATAGAGATATAGCAGAAGATTAGACTCCCTAAAACTAGAGACAAAATTTGAATGATAGCTCTGTTTTAAAATATTCTTTATTCTGTGTAGGTGTCTTTATTAAGGCTTCATTTTTGCAGGCTAAGTAAGCAGTAATGTGGGGAAGGCAAGGATCCAAGAGGTGCTGAATAATGAAGCATGCATGGGGCTGCGTTAATAGTGTCAAGTCCTAGAGTTTTTTCTTTTAACTGCTTGTCTTTGTTTGCTTACTGAAGTGATTTAATCTTCAGGTCTGTAGTAGTAGGATCTTGTAGTCCAACTTTTGTGTGGATGGATCCACTTGCAGCTCTTATGTAATGTACAACAATCGAAGGTCACAACAATGGCGCCTTTCAATCTCACTGCTTCTGTGTAACGTTCAAGTACTTTTATATCCCACATATTAAAATGTTTTGCATCTCATGTTGGTAGTGCTGTAGAATGTGTTTAGTAGGCAAAATCTGGTTGTGTTGATTTAGTTACTTCAAGTGGCATTTCTGCTATTGGTGATAGGTAAGTTCTAGTGCAAAGTGCTAAAGTTTAGACTTCTTTTTTAAACCCCCATCACACAGTGGACACTCTCAATCCTACAAAACATCTCAGATCTTTTCAGCATAAGTGATAGAAGCACTCCCCGGTATGCTGATGACTCCTGACTGCAGAGGAAAAACTATCTCATTCTATTTTTTGTTCAACTCTTGACAATCTCACAGAATTTTTCACTCTGCATTTATGTGATAAGAAAGAGTTGCAGAACTCACCAAACTACTTAGGGAGCACACACAGTACAGGTCATTTGAAGGTGTGCTTTTAGAAGTGAGAACAAGCAAGTATTGTAAGTTCTTCTTTTTGGGAGGGAAGTTACTTGACTTAACAGCTAATAATTCTTATAATCATCAGGACAGGTTATCGTTGAGTTTTGTGGGTGTGTTTTAAGTTGTTGTTTTTTTTTTTAAAAAAAAAAAGACAGGTTTAGGAGTAGATGTTGAAGTCTAGTTAAAATTGGCCCAGGTTTCACAGCCTGCTTGTTCCCTTGATGCTGCAAGTATTGTTGAGCAGCAGCATGCAGTGAAAACTACCTAAAACTGAAAATGTGCTTTCATCTGCAGCAGCCATACATGGAGTTCTCTGTTGGTAGTACGTATTTTACTTATGAAGCTGCCAGTTGTATTTTGATTACTCTTTTTAAAGAAAGGAAAAATTGGCATCATGACTTAAAGAATAAAATTAAATCACTAAAACTTGGAGTAGTTCACATGAACAGCTGCACCTTTTCAAAAGCATTTGTGCATCTGTGAATGCTTCTATTTAATGTGTTGCTAAAACAAATATTTCTTTGCTTTGAAAATCTATCTGTAAAAGTACATGTTGCCTCCTAAGGGAAGGTGGTGGATTTTCATGGTTAAATGTGTCCCCTTTCCAGGTTCCTCAGCATCACCCAAATCAACTGTTATATCTGCCAGCAGTGCAGCAGCTAGCAGACTGGCTGGACAAGGTTGTGATTTAATTATTCCCACAGGTATCGCAGCACTGAGCGGATAACGCCCTTGTCTCTGCTGACACTGTACTAACTCCTCCATCTCTTCAGTCATTTGATTTACTCTTACTTGGAAGCATCATTTCTAGGGGCTTATGGTGTTCCTGGTTTCTGGATTTTAACTGTTCACTAAGTAATCTCTGCTTCCCTTTCTGTTTGCTACTTTTTGTGCTATAATGTTAAAAACAAATTACTACTAACAGACAGTAACTACAATGTGCGTAACCAAGTTATTTTATTTTGATTGAAGCTGAAACTCGTGGCTTTCTTTTTGCACCAAATGTTCATATTTTCCTGTAAAACAGAGTATGAGGTGGCGATTAGGAATTTCTAACACCCAAGCTTGGCTTTGCCGTTTGACTCATTTTGTGCCTATGGGCAAATTACTTAACATCTCTGTTTCCTTCTATGTAAAAAGAGAAAACTCACTCTGTTACCTCATAAGGGTGTTGAGAGGATTAATTACCTAATGTTTGCACAGCATTTTGAAGACATAAAGGATACAGTAGTGCTTGATGTTGAAGGAGTATCTTGAGGCATCTTTATAGATGTTTTTTCCAGTCACTTATTTACGTAAATAACCAGCAGTGCTAAGGTGACTGTAAGTAGCCATCAGGACTATTCAAAGCATGCGAGAGCAGCAGTAGTCAAAATTGTTCACAAATAAATTTTGAGAAACTGCTTTTAAAATGATAGAATTTGGCAGCTTTTACTGTTTCATATGGTAGGAAATGGTTTTTCAAAAATAAAACGTAGAATCTGTGATGTCCTGTACTAGCTTGAAAATATTACGTAGACAGCGAATACGCACTCATGGGACCTGAATATCTTTATTTGATGCTAGCAAATGCTTCTTTATTGCGGTTTTCATGCTGTTGGTGCATGGAATGAATTGCTTCTAAACCAACAGGCTAAAAAAATCTGAAAAACATAAATAAGCTACAATTCCTTGATGGTGGCTAAATGTGTTTTCTGGAAAGGATGATGTTCATTAGAAAGAAAATCTGTTTCGTCATGTCTTTAAGTTATACTCTGTGGCAACAATTTTTATAAGTTGATAACATTCATTTAGTGGTTTGCAGGATATAAACAAACTTTAGATTTGCTAAGTCCAGAAGAATCTTCAACTTCTGGAATGTTAAGAACATAGATAAAGTAAAGAACAGGTATCTAAAACGGTTTTAAGGTTGGTTAGTAAACTCCATGCTTTCAGGTAAGCTTCCTTCAGCCTTTTGCCAAGTAAAAGTACTGAGATGCACATGCTCTATATCTGTTTTTAATGTAATTGTTTTGAATTCATCTTGAAAATTAACAAATTTATCAATGTGTTTACTTTCACCTCATTCTCCTTTTGCATGTGCAGTTGCGCAAATCTTCCATACTCCTATTAATTCCTTAAACAAATCAAAAACACAGGCCTTAATTACTTACTTTGTGTATAACGTGTAGGGAGTAGAGCTCAGCAGAAGAGTGGACCTGTTGTGTTAGCAGATGAAGTGAAGAATCCAGCAATGGAGAAGTTGGAATTGGTGAGGAAATGGAGCCTGAATACTTACAAGGTATGTGGACTTAAATTTGTGTGTGCATATATATTCTAGAAATGAGTTTGCAACTGAACCGTACTATGGCTTTTGAAGAATTGCACTGCAGTGTGGAAGGAAAGCATTTGTCATTTCAGTGAGCATAAACAAGGATGTGCATGGAAGGCTTAGTTTTCTTTGTTTGACTGGATAAAGATACTGATTTAACAAGGAAAAGAACATTGTGTGTCTGATGACTCCTTCAAAATAGAGAAAGTACAGATTTCAGTATGTAATGCTCGTGATTAAGATGTCTTGCTAAGCTGATTGCTGATACAGTAGAATTTTATCTGATGGAAAAAGTCAGGTGAATCTACAAGTTATAAACTTGTTAATTGCAATTCTGATATTTGTTTTATATTAGCTCTATTTTTTTTTTTCTTAGCACTGTAATTGTTGTTTCCAGTTTGTCTGCTTTGCTTTTGTTTGGCACTTGTAGAAGTGCTTAAAGCACACCAGTTTGCCAGAGGTGACTCTTCTTGAAATAGCCACAAAGTAAGGAACAGTTGCCAGGAAATGTATTACAGTCAGGAGCTAAGATGAATTTTGAAAAATAACTTTCCATTGTGGATGAAACTCCAATGGCAGAGGTGGGGACAGCTAGATGTGCATCAGTGGGAGCTATGTCAGGCCATAAAGAGGTAAAGAATCTGTTTTAAAACGTTTTTTCTTGTAGAACAGAGGTCTGAATCCCTCCAATGCCTTGAATCCAGGAAGGGTATTCTCCCCTGTGAGGATGTTTAGTATTGTGAACGTAGACATTGCACTCGCTAGAAAAGGTTTATGCTGTTTGTTGTGTTAGAATCAGAAATGTGACCCTTTTTATGTACAAAAAGCATATTTAATTTGGGTAAGGACAATATTTCAGTTTGTGGGCATTATAGCTTGCCTTATTTCTCTTCAGAAAGGAGAAATTAGATTACATTTACTTTTTTTTTTTTTTTACAAGCTATCTTGTAATAGCTAAAAACGTTGGTCTTCAGTGAATCCTTCTCAATGACTACAAGTCTGAAATCTTTAAGAGGATAGGTAATTAATGGCTAATTGTAATTTCTTCCAAATCCATCTTTCTTCATAAGGACTTCGGCATACACTTTTTGCTTTAGGTTTCTGTTTCCAGGTGTTCTTAACAATCTCAGCCAGTTCACACACTTATTGCAAGTATCACTCCTTGCTTGCTTTGGCAGATACATTCAGAAATCATACTCATCTGTGAAATGATGATTAAGTATGCCTGTATGTGTTTTGTATACCTCACTATTTTGTCTATTGTGCATCTCCATGAATGAGAACAGAAATAAGAGAAGGGTATAAACTGTGTTTAAGCAATTGCTTACCAGTGAAAAATTACAGGAAGTTGACACTACTGGCCTAGCCTAACTGTGAATTTTCAAAGGCTGCTTAGCTTTCTCCCTAAACTTAGAGGCTTGTAAAACTAGGCTGTTGCCTTTGCGGCTACTGGCCCTCTTCATTAAGAGCTGCCCTGAGAATCAGTTGTTGACAGGTTGAGAGCCTGTTGATTAAAAGTAGGGACCAGACTAATAAAGGGCATCTAGTGATTGGGGTCCACTGCAAGCCAACTAATTGAGGGGAGCTTGTTGACAAGGCCTTCTTACATCAGCTGCAAGAGGTGTCATGTTTGCAGGCTCTCATCGTGATGGGGGATTTCAACCACGCAGATATCTGCTGGGGAAAACAACATTGTGACCTGCAAGCAATCAAAGAGACTCCTGTTATCTACTGATGACAACTTTCCGTTTCAGATATTGGACAGAGACCTACCAGAGATCAAGTGTTTCTGGATCAGGTCCTCGTGAATGCAGAAGAGATTATTAGAGGGGTTAAGATCAGAAGCAGCTTGGGCTGCAGTAACTATGTTACTGCATGTTCATGATCACAAGGAACATGGGTCTGGCAAAGAGTAGAATCAGGATCCTGAACTTCAAGAGAGTGAACTTGAAACTGTTTATGCAATTGGATGAGATCCCCTGGGAAACTGTCTCTGGGGACAGAGAAACAGAACAGAGCTGGCAGCACTTCAACGATGCCTTTCTGAGAGCACAAGAGCTCTCCATTCCCCAGAATAAAATCAGACAGAAATTGGGCTTATCCAGCTTGGAGGAGAGAAGGGTCTCAGGAGATCTCAATGTGGCCTTCAGGTACTTGAAGGGAGCTAAATAGCAGCAGGGGACTGTCTTTTTACACGGTCTGATGGGATCCTGGGCAGCCTAGTGGTTGGCAGCCCTGCCCAGGGGGTTGGAACCAGTGGATCCAAACAGTTCCTTCCAACTGTGAGGCCGTTCTGAGTCTTTCCAGTCTTCTCCCTAGTTATCCTCAGGAGGAGTTGCTTATTTTCCGTGATCTAATGGCAAGTGCTTTTTCTTTTTTTTTTATTTCCTTTACGTAGACTTCTTCGGATGAGAGAAGTTTTTTCAGTTATGAGTTAATATGGATGCAAGTTGCAACTCTTCTTTGCTTTCAGTAGTTTTAATAAGTAAGCTTGCCTAATTTTTCAGACAATTTCTTAAATTTCAAGGAAGAACATACTAAATGTATTTTGTAAATTTCTTTAGTAGTGGTCTACTAATTAGAACTGTCCAATAAGTTCTCCGTTCATCCTTTAATGTACACAGTTTAAAATAACTTTCTTTAAATTTATTTCTGCTGATATTTCATTTGACAAAATTGACTTTCTTAATATGCCTTGGATGCCTTCTCACTTTTAATGAGTGTAATTATGCTGGACAGTGTTTTTCTAGGTAATTTTTAGAACAAAGCAAAATGAAGTTTGTGTCAAATATTCTGTTTGCTAGTGAGAGAGCACAGGAAATTGTGTTTATACCAGTCCACTTGTAACTAGAGTAAATGGAAACGGTGGCTGGGTACATCTTTTTAGTTGCTCTTGTTCAGTGTTCAACCTTAGTTTTAACCAAGCAGAATAAATACTTCAGATGACTAATTCTCATTTGAACTGTTGTCTTTTCAGATATTTTGCTGTAACTTCTGGGGAAAATATTCCTGTGTAATTTATTTTTACCTTTCCCCCCCAAAAAAAATTTCACTTCTTTAAGTTACATTTTTCTCTTGGATTTCTGTAGGTATGTGAGAATCAGCTTTTTTTTTTTTTTTTTTTAAATAGCCAGCACTTATTTTTTGTTAAATACATCATGAGCTTACCAAACTTCTTGCTAAGCTATATTTTCTAATTTCATTTGCAAGCCTTGGTGTTTCTGATGTATTCAATGATAGTATGATTTGTTCTCTTCAAAACTTATGAATCTTTACAGAAAAATCTGCTAGATAAACTGTGTTCTTTCTTGTTAATTGATTGAATCTAGTGAAATAGTCCAAATGCTCTGTACCTTCTACTGCAGAGTTTATCAGTTATGACCATCTTGTTTGGCCAAATTCTTGAGTCTTTCTTTCATTTGTCTATTAAATTTAAAAAGTACTGGAAAGTTCTAACAGATATTATAAGTCTGTTTGTCCCCTTTGAAAATAAGTAAAGACTGGACTAAACCGAATTCCTTGAATTCGGAGACACTGGAAAATCCAGTGCTGTAATGTGTTCTGGTGATGTGAATTAAGATAAGGTTGGTCTTTGTCTCTCAGCAAAATTGTATTCTTGTGCTTAGGTGAAGCTGTAGCCTTGTCTATTACTGAGTTTCATTGTAATCCTGTTTCTAGCAGTCATTCTTCAAACGTATCATTTAGTTTTTGTCTTCACGGATTAACTTGAATGTAATCATAGCAGCAAATAATCCCTGTTTTGCAGAGGGATTGTTTTGCCACTTTTCTGCTTTGCAAATTACATTTATGCATTAGTCAAGGGAAGCCCAAGTGGTGTGTCTTGAGAGCCTTGCTCTCTCATGTTGGTCTCTGGCAGAATGTCACAGACAATTGGAACGTGGTAGCTGTCTGAGCTGTCACAGCCATTGGCTGGCTGGTTCAGCCTTCCAAAGGCAAGACTTGCTGCTCACTGTATAAAGAAACTGCAAGGATGTCTCAGAATGTTTGTTTTCAGACCCGAGTAGAATTCTTAACAATCAGCTCCATTTTATAGGCGTGTTAATAACAAGAAACACTTCATGTTTTACACATGAGTGAAAGTTTTGAGTCACCTTTAAAAAACATGCTGAAGACTCCCTTCCATCCATCTTCTGCTCCTTCCTTAGAAAACGAGATTTAAAAGTTTATACATTCCCAGAGCCTTAATGGGAATTCCAAAAAATAACAGGGATTATCTGGAATGGGATGGTTAGTAGGCAAAGTCTAAAAGATCACGGAGCAGAAATTGTTATGCAGAACTGGTAATATTCTCATTAATTGCCTTGAGTGTTGTGAGCTAAATAATTGCTTCTTTTAACTTAGTAAGGTTCACTGAACCTAAAAAGAGATAAGCATTCTTTTACTTGAGAAACAATTAGTTACACTCTTGATTTGCTAACTTGAATATTCATTTTAGTAGGAGTTGAGACTTGTCCAACTGTTCTTGCTGAGTCCTGATGAACTTCTAAAGAGTGTGGTGTTTTTTCAGTTTGTTGTGCAAACTTATATTGGGAGGGGTGATTGTGAAAGAATTGTGTATAATTATCTGTCCCTTGAAGCTGAAAATGGGTGTATACTGTGATGTCTGGATATATTTGATTCTTTATAATTTAAATTTTTTTCCAGTGTACACGTCAGATCATCTCTGAAAAACTGGGTCGTGGCTCAAGAACAGTAGATCTGGAATTGGAAGCTCAAATAGATATACTGAGAGATAACAAAAAAAAGTATGAAAATATCTTGAGGCTGGCACAGACTCTGTCTACACAGCTCTTCCAGATGGTACATACCCAAAGGCAACTTGGAGATGCTTTTGCTGACCTGAGTTTGAAATCATTGGAACTTCATGTAAGACTTTTATGGTGTTTTAAAAAAAAATACATAACGAAACGGCAGAGATGAAGATAAGCCCAATTGACTTGTGCAGGTTGTGTGGTAGTTAGCAGCCGGTCCTATGAACATTTGTTAACATCATTACGTATTCTTTTTGTTAAAAGCATCTGTAATTCATTTAAAACTGTAGGATATCACTGGAGTTATTGTAGTTCTTAAGTGTTTCTAAATGTTGGCCTTTAGCTGATGATTGGACTTGGCAACTGACAACTTTGCTTTGTATAGAAAATGCATTTTACTATTCCTTTTTTCTTCTAATGAGATGTCAAAGCGTTCTGGAGCATTACTTCATGTCAATTACAGGATGTCTCTGGGGAAATAAGCCTGGCAGTGGGTAGAGTAGGGCACATTACTTCACTGCTGCATGTTTAATGTGAGTAAATGATTTTTCTGTAGTAGAGTCAAGCACTGAGATTTCATCTTGTAGTCTTTTTTTAATCATAATAATGATGGTAAGAGGACTAATTTTTCCTTTTATGTTTGGAGTTTCTGAGCAAGGAAGGCAATCTTCAGATATCTGCATTTGGGTTGTTCTTAGACGTTCACAAATTTATGTAGCGCTGTCACTTCATTACTGATCACAAAACTCTTGTAAAGAAAGAGAAGGTAGGTGTTGCATACCAAAAAATAAGTTGGTTTGCTTCTATGTAAATCCTTCTGTACTTCCAGTGTTAAATCAACTTCATACTCTGCCTGATCTCTTGGGAAACCACTGTCAAGGGGCTTAATGATTCCCTGGAATGTGGCTAATGAGAAAGCCCAAATTTGGTTTGTTGTTATTAAATGTCACTCTTAAGTTTATTTTTCCCTTTTCATGATTGCCTATTCTCATTGAGTTATAGGGAAAAAGAGGAGTAAATGTTTGTGTAGAAGAACTTTAACCAATAGCTAGTTTAAAAAAAAAAAATCAGACTTCCACTGGAGTACAGAAATTTTTAATATTATAGCCTAACAGATGAAGATCTCAAAATATGCCACTTCTAGCAGGTAAGAAATAAAATCTCCTAAGAGGAGTAGTTTTATCTGTTGATTCTTGACTCGAGCACGGGTATGTGGTTTGTGGCAGAAGTTAGTGATTGTTGTGAAGTGCGTGCTGAAGCTGGATGTTTCTTCCGAAACCTGGATTAATCTGGAATCATGCTCTTATTTAATGAACGGTTTTTTCATGAATAGCTTGTATTTCTAGTGGGAATACAGTTCCTCCAGGTCCTTTCAGCATCTTTTACTGGTCTTGGAATTTGTTTCAGTCATTCATCTCCTATGTAGATTATTGAATGGGGCTGTTCATGAAAATTAAATAAAGGTTTCTGCTGCTGTAATAAAAGTTATCTAACCTTTGCCTCTTGGAGACTTGCCTGATGTTTGTCTGTTTCCTCTTTGTGTTTTCCCTTTGTTTAATCTGTACTGCGTTGCCATCTGTAGCCTGGCCTGTTCTTGAATGTTTGGTTATCATTGCCTCCAAATCTTGTGCAGGACTAAAAGTAAAATTTCTGAACAGTTCAGTGTTTAATTTGATAAATAGAAAAAAAAGAAGCATAACCTGTTATAGGTAGTTTTTTTTGTACATGTTAACAAAATAAGATCTTAATATGGTATTTACAGAGGCATTACTTCAATATGTTCTGCTGTTTCTCTTTTGGATACAAAGATAACTCCTGGTTCCAGGCTCATATGCCTCTAATTATATAGAGTGGTGAATTCCAATTGTAATTGACCTGTGCATAGAGCATGAACTGAGTATAAACTCCCATACAGAAAGGATTTCCTGCCTTTCATAAGAGGTGTCTGCAGAGGTCATGGACAAAACTCAAGTTTTATATGAAACTACGAACCAGTAAAAAGACAGCTTTGGTGACCAGCACCAAATATTTTAATATGGTACACCACTGCAGTCCCATCCTTCTTACCCTCCTGCTTTGAACTGTTGGTTTTGCTCATTTGTGCCTGCAGTAATCTGGGTCACGGGACCAGCTGGAAGGCTAATTGTGGTCTTGCCTGGAGGAGGGAAAGATAGCACTAAATACTGCCAGAGGGGCAGTCCTACTTCTGCTTTTGTCTTTGCCTATATGCTCATGTTGCTATCTAGTTAGCAATGTCAGAGCAAAAGCAGCTGAAAAATATTTTTCTTGATTTCAACAGCATCTGTAGTGATTTGGCTGCCTACACATAAGCAGTGTCTAAAAGAAAGGAGATGGTAATATTCTAGCAGCATTTGTAGGCCCTTAGCTCATGAAAATTCTCCTTAAGTTCTCTCTATTTTCTCCATTAAACTGCTTGTTTCCACTGCATCTCGTTTTCTCTTTTTCTAGAGGCTTCTTCCCTTACCCTTGTCCATTAGCCTTTCTGTCATGAAGTCATTCATGTTTACATGAAATACCATTTGGCTTCAGCGTCTCATCTAGACAGATGAAAAGAAAATGGGAGAGTACAGCACTTCTGACTCAGCTATTGGCAGGGTGCAAGGCTAAAAAGACCGATTTCCAAATATGTTCCTAGTGTTTTATAATCCTTACAACCAGAAATTGTACTGTTTTATGAGAACTCCCATCTGCAGAATATGAAGATGCCATATGGATGACATAAATAATTGGACTTATTTGGCATCCATGCATTAGGAAAATTGTTGCAGCCTTGGTCAGTGCTTATGCTGCTGTCAAAAAAAAAAAAAAAAAAGCATTAAGAATCATATATCCAAATGTGACCAAAATGCCTTGGAAATAATTTCTCCCTGATCGCTTTGAAGTTTGTAGCTAATGTACATTTTTACTTGTGAACTGTTATAATGCTCAGCTTTTTTGGTCATTTACAGCCTATTAAAACATGGTAAGACTTTTTAAATTCAGTGCTTTTTTCCAGAATGTGTCAAGAGTAAAAATTACAGGCTAATTAATGCTGTGTTCCCTTATGAGTTATTTTACTGTATTTAATGTAGTGGTATTCCTGTTGGTATTAAAGAGTTACCAAGGCAATCATATGAGAGATGATGGATTAAAATAGTGCTGAATGACAATGTGAAAGTTACATCAGCATTTTTAAATAGCATATAAGATTTCAGAGTTGAAAGGAAAAAATCATTCTGAAATAGCATTTAACATCGTATAGTATCAAAACTGTAAGTAGTACTTTACTGATGTTAGAGAGATTTCATAAAAACGGTAAACTGAATATTCTATTGAAATCTTGCACGTTTAATTGTAACTGTATCCTAACAGAAGAGGCAGAATTTCTATGTCTGTGCTTTTGTCTTTTATATAGTTGCTGATGAATGTTATGATTTGAAATGATGTGCAGTTTTGTTTTCTCTGCTCTCTGTTTATAGGAGGAGTTTGGCTACAATGCAGATACGCAGAAACTTCTAGCTAAAAATGGAGAGACTCTTCTCGGGGCTATTAACTTTTTTATTGCCAGTGTGAATACATTGGTGAATAAAACAATTGAGGATACATTATTGACTGTGAAACAATATGAAAGTGCCAGGTAGTTATTCTATGTCTAGCTATTTTCATTATAAATTAATATTCAGGGAAAAAAAACTTTCAGTTTAGTTCTTGTATTTGAGCAACTAACCTGTTAGCTGTAAGCCTTGTCAGAATAACACAGTTCACATGTAACTGGGTTTTAACATTAGCCACCTCATTACATGTCTTCAAGTGTTTTGTAAATGTTCTGTTGTAGGCGTAATTTTACTTCATAGCTTTATTTCTCTAACAAGTTAGTAGCTATTATTTCCCTGTCTGCTAGCTTAAGATGATTTTCTACACCAAATAACAGTTCAAGGTGAACCATTATATATCTAGCTATATTGTAATTAGTGAAATCGTCTTTGAATGAAAGACAGTTTATACTGAGCTTCTTTTGATGCCCAGTGCTTGTAATTAACACTTCAGTTTTCATGTAGAAGTTGCAAGTTTGGTCTAGAAAGGGGAAAACAAAGAGGCATTTCTTAATGTGCAAATAATATCTAGCCGTCAATAATGGTTTCCTGTCCTGGAGTTTACTTTACTCTGGATGTAGTGCAGAACTTTAAGCCAGGCTTCCTTCTGTGTGGTTGGAGTTGTGGTCTTCATTGATACTTTGTTCTTGTCTGACTTTCAGGTTCATTAAAGAGTATATGTCTGTCTTATAATTTGCTGAAAGGTGTAGTTAATGCACATTTATTTTTGCTATTTTTAAGTCAAAAATTCCTGGTTTCTTGAGTTCTGAAGGTTTTTTCCTGCCTTTTTTCATTGCTGTTCTAATGCTTAAGCTTTTTTATAAGCAAAGTAGCAAGTCATTGCTTTGATATTTAGTTTAACTTTCAAACGGCCTGAAAAGTATAATTAGCCTCAATGTGAAGAACTAAACTGAAATAAAAATCCATCCACGCATTTGGGTCTTTCTCTTGAAATGTTATATAAAGTAAACTTATGGTTGGTCTTGTCAGTTATTCTGAATGTATGGTTCTTCCCTCCTAAAATACCTTCATGATTTTTTCTTTTCATTCATTAAAGAAAGTGTTTTGTTGCTTTGACAAAGCAAATATATGTTTATATATAACTAGTCTTGGCAGTGAGAGAATAGTTCACATTTATTTCTGTGCCTCGTCTTTCCTTTCTCCACTTGGACTTCAGTGCTCATCAGTTTCCCCCTCTTCTGTGAGTTCTTTATTCATCTGTTTCCTTTTTGGAACTAATTCCTAAATTCTTTAAATAATGAGAATCAGGAAGAGCGCTGTGAATTCTGTATTTACTGTTATCTCAGAAAATATGTATTCTTTTGGAGTGCTTGTGCCACCAGCCCCAAAGTCGTTTGTATTAACAGTTTTTAGTTCTGTTACTTCCAGTTTCAGAAATATCTATGTGAGAGAGAGTATTAACAAAGCCAGAAATAGATTGATTTGTTCCTTTAAAATTGGCATCCATCACATGTTGATACAGAACATTCCATTATTTTAAAACTAAAAGAAAACTATGGGAGGAAGAGCCCTGCTTTGGGGAGGGCTGTGCATGACCCTGACTGATTTCTGGCTATTGTCAGTTGCTGTACCTGGTCAAGTGTTCCATGGCACTGAAGGCACTGCACAAAGGAGCAGTACTGTACAGCAGGACAAGGGGAACAAAAAAAGAGAAAGCTTATTACTGTGTTTGTTTCATCTATCTGTACTCATGTTTTTAAATATAAAACTAGTTTATCTGGCAAGGATCCATTGTTCAGTAGGCTTTTCTGTAACAATGGAAAGCAGAAGAGAAATTCACTGATATCCTTACACTAATAATATTCCACAGGTGCTTTTCCCACCTAAAAATGCTTTATACTGATGAATAGAAAACTTAACATGAAATAATTTTGTTAATGAAAATGTACTCAGTGTTTCTAAAGACAGTGCCTGATAGAATAAAATACAACTTCAAAGTATTCTAAAGACTATTTTGATATATTTTTTTTTCCATTAAAACAAGAGAAAAGGTATGACTGTGTATGTCTTTGTGTGATCTAACTAATGTCTTTGTACCAGCTAACATGGAAGGATATCAAGGAGGCTTAGTTTTTAGTTGTGGTTTTTTTTTTTTTTTTTTTTTTTTTTAGATAGTGATATATGAAGACTAGATGGCTCAATTAAAATGTTATCAAGCAAGTGCCCGTGCATAACATGAGTTCCATTTTCACTAGCAGTGCCTAGGACAGAATTTCTTATTTAGTGCTTTTTATTGTTGGCACATGTTTACTTTTTAATTACTGCTGACTTGGGTAGATAAATTAGGAAACACTTTCTACTTAGTCTTATTTACAAGCTGGATATAACTATTGATTGCAGAATTAGCTTGTTTACTTGAGTAACTTAAGTGTTTGTTGTTGCAACTCAGCTCCCTCAGTGGCTGTGTTGGTCCAGTGTATCTGATTTCCTATGTAAATTAGATGGATCATCAAGAGGGTATAAATAACATGTTTTCTTTCAGCTTTTTTGTTAGGGCAGGCAAATTCCAAAACAGTTCTGGGATAGTGACTGTAATTGGAACGTTTTAAAATCTTTGTGACACAGTTAGTGAGCCACTGCTCACTTGAAGGAGATGTCCAGCTCTTAGTGCTTCTCTTGCTCTTGCTGAAAACTCTTAGGACAAAAGACCAGTTCTGACTAGATAACTGAGTTAATAAGCAGAGATGTTCCAGGAAAGAACCTGACCTCTGAGGCCAGCACATAGCAGGAACAGGCTGCCCAAGGAGGGCACCTGTCTCTGGAGGTGTTTAGGATCAGACTGTAGGGGCCCTGGACAACCTGATCTAGTACTTGATCTAGTAGCTGGCAACTCTTCTTGCAGCAGGGGAGTAGGAAGTTGATGGTCCTTGAGGTCTCAAACCATTATATGATTTGATGAAAACAAAAGGTTGGAAGCATGTGGGTGAGACAGGAGCAGAAGGGCAAGGGTATTTGTTGAGGCTTTTTTATATGATGTACATAAGGGTGTTGTTTTTTCTTCCTCCTATTTATCAAGAGAATTGACAAGTTTCATCACTGTTTTCTGTACTTGACTGCTTTGTTAATTTGCTATTGTAATTGGCCCTATATGTGAAGTCTGTTTTGAGGCACTTAGCCTTTAGATTTTTTCCTACCCCTCTTTCTTCTCAGGATTGAATATGATGCTTATCGAACAGACCTGGAAGAACTTAATCTTGGCCCTCGTGATGCAAGCACTCTACCAAAGATCGAGCAATCACAACAGATGTTTCAAGTGCATAAAGAGAAATATGACAAAATGCGTAATGATGTATCTATCAAATTGAAATTTCTGGAAGAAAATAAGGTAAGCTGCACCTTCTTCTAGTGTTGTGCTTACCTTTTGTCCTGGAAGTCTCTGCTTTGCTAAAAATGCTTTAGCTATTTCATCTTAAAATACATTTTAATCTAGAAGTAGAGCAAGCCAAGAAAATGAACTTAATTTTCAGAATTAAGTAGAATTACCAGTGGATAATATAGTTCTAGAGGAGGCAACTTTAAAAGCCCTTAATTAAGTTACTGCAATTACAGATGACAAATCTTATGGCAGTAAGTTTTTGGTTGATACAGGAGGCTTAATATGTATTGACATAGAAGGAAAAAATGTAATATCTAATCAATAAAGGCACATAACCCCTGATTTAAGATTACAGTAATATTTACATCTAATAGTGCTGTCCTGGGGGATATGCATCACGAAATTTAAAAGAGCTGTGAAGAGGTTACTTCAAAATGAAACTTAATGTAATAAAAAAAAAAAACAACCCTGAATTGAAAATTGCAGCTTTCTGTAGTTAATGCCCTTACAGTTTCCTAATTCTAAACTTTAGAACTGTAGGCATGAAGTTTTTGTCACCAGAGGTGTTCATTCAAGCTGTGCCATTTCATCTCTGCCCTCCTAATGACAGGACTCTTACCCCCTCTTATTCTGCTTGCCAGACAAAAATACATTTGTCAAACAGGGCACACTGTTAAACTGTGCTTTCTTTGGTAACGGTGTCCTTCTAAATGTTTCTAATTAAATTTTTAGAAAGATGGTCTTTTGAGATCTGAATTTTGTTCATTAATTAGATTGTTTAGGAAACACCAGTGAAGCTAGCTTCTTAGTGACAGTCTTGAATTAAGATCTAGCATCCTGTTAACAGTTGCAGCCTATAAATTTTGTTTTTGTAAGACTGTTTTTTCCTTCCTACTGCTTCCCCTCCCTCCCTTGCCCCGCTCACCCCCCCCCCCCCAAAAAAAAAAAAAGTACAGAAGGGACTGTCACATGCTTAAACCTTTTTATCACTGGTTAACTCTTCTTTGTTTTGATATTGGAGATGTCAAAATATTTTCTAACGGGAACATGTAACCTTGTTCCCAAATAAGACATAGGACTTTCAAATATTGGCTTATATATTTCTTTACTAAGAGCTTTACTGAAGTAAATTACCTTTTGCTGTTTTCTACTTACTTTGTAGTATTTTATATAAAGTAAGTTGTATAGGTTTAACCTTAATTCTAAATCTGTGAGGTGTTTTTTTTTTTTTCTAGCTTGCATCCATTTCTGGGTTTTTGTTCTTCTGTTCCCCAAAATGTTTCCTGGGATTCAGTGGGAGGCAGTGGTTACCGAAGTGATAAGTGTTTCTTCCCAATCTGACATCTTAATTCCTTTGTCCAATGCCAGTCATCTTTTGTCAATATCAATGTAGTGAAGCTCCTGTTAGACCTCATACTGATCCTTCAGCTAGTATTAGTGAATAGAAATGCCCAACTGATAACCATAATACCCATTATAGACACTACTTCTAATTTTTAGGCATATATGAAGTATATGTGACTGCTCTTAAGGTGATTACTTTTTATGTTGTAAGGATTATTAAATAGTATCATAGAATCACTCAGGTTGAAAAAAACCTCCAAGATCTTTGAGTCCAACCACGACCTAACCATTAACTTGTATAATCAGTAAGTATTAAGTCTAACAGAAACGAACATCTAATTCTTACAATCAGAGATGTTCTACTTCTTCCAAAGGTATGTGATGGCAATTGCTATAATGCCTCATAATTTAAATACCTATAAATACAGCATGTGCCTGACTGGAAGGAGGAGGAAGAAGAGCCTGATAGGTATAGTTGCATATGTATTTGTAATACAGCTGCTTCAGCTGGTGGTGTGGTGCACTCACTTTTTAGGAGATGGCTTACACTGAAGACTATATAGGATGCAGAACTCCCAAAGGGGAGAGCAATTTTAATATTGCTGAGCTCTTACAGTGGTCCCAGGGAGGGAATTAGTGGTTATTCTGATCCAACATCCCTAGTAACGTGGACTTCCCGATTATTTTGTGTGATCATCCATAGGCCCAAATTTAATTACTGCCCACTTAATAGAATGAGAGGTCAAAATAAAGGAAGATCTGGCACACAGAATACTATTTTATTTGGGCTTTCACGAAATACTTCATTTGTAGGCTGTTTTGGAATACCCACCACATTGCAGGTTTATTAATTCAACTCAAATATAGTTGTTTGAGTAGCTACATAAAACAAGGCATGGCCTTACCAGACTTATGTTACAATACACTAGAATGTGCAAATCTCTAGTCATTATTATTAATACATTTTGTAAAGGCTCTGAATCAAGAGGTAAGTTGATATTTGTTCAGTAAAAATGGTATGATAGCAGTGTAAGTTTTCTGTTGCGGATTTTAAAGCCTTTGGAGTCTTCTATATGCTGATACAGGATTTAGGACAGTAGAGTCTCAAGCTTAGCAGCCTTTTTTTTTTTTTTTTTTTACCTTTGGTGCTACAGAAAATGTGTTGAGAGGGAAGCTTGTATGGAGGAAAGAAGACAGTATTTTTACAACTTTAAATGTTTAGAATATCCAGGGGTGAAAACTCAATTACAACCTACATTATCTTGCATACGAAATGTAAAAGTTGCATCTTCTTCTTAGACTACTTCTATTTTTGTTTATCCACAAAGTTCAGTTTTACTTTGAGTCTTAAGTTTGCCAGGTGTATTATGGAGTGCTTACTCAGCTTTTAATTAGGAATAAATATGCATATAGTTTATTAAGAGGGAACAATAACTTAGATGAATTTCGACTGAAAAGTCACAATGGCTTTTGGACAGACACGTTAAGCACACATTGGAACCTGTATTCTAGTAACTGGAATTGTTCCCTGGAATGAATGCTGCAACTTAGTGCTTAACACTTGTCCTTTAGTGCTGCAGTCTAGCAGTGACTTGTAGACTTGGAAGAAAGTGGTCTGTTCCTCCTGTCTATGCCTCTTCCCTGGCTGTGCTTCCTCTGTGCTTAGAAAAGTGTTTTTGCAGCTGTGCATAGATAGAGCTTAAAGCAAATACATTGTTGTCTGGTTAGTTTTAATCTAGATCTGCTCCCTAATCCAACTGACTGCACAACTGCCTGAATATTTTGCCAGTGCAGGGCTAAGGAGAAAAACTGTGGAAGTAGGAATTGGTGGGTGATTATGGAAATAGAGAAGACTGAAACTTTTTGTGGAAATCTGGCCAGACTTGAACTTGGATTCTTGTATTCTAGTTCTCAGCTATGATTTCAGATTTTGTTTCAGAGGACATGAGGTGATCTGATATATTAGAGCTTCCTCTCTTGTCTCAGCTAACTGCTGCTTCATTGTAGAGCGTAAAGGAGAGGAATTGGATATATACTTCTTCGTAGTGTGGCAGGATTTGCTTCTGTTTGGTTTGTTGGTATTTGTTGGGGTTTTTTTTTGTTTGTTTTTAGAAATTTAGTGGAGATGCCACAACTATTTTTTTTTTTTTTTTTTTAGATTCATTTAGTAATCAGCTTCTGAAGAAGCAAGGAAGGAGCAGTAACATCTTGAGTGAGGGGTCTGGAGCACAGGCCTCATGAGGAGCGGCTAAGGGAGTTGGGATTGTTCAGTCTGGAGGACAGGCTCAGGTGAGACCTTATTGGTCTCTGTCATTACCTGAAGGGAGGTTGTAGTGAGAGAAGTGGCTGATCCCCAGCTCATTTAACTAGTGATAGGACTAGAGGGAATGGCCTGAACTTGTGCAAGGGGAGATTCACACTGAACATTAGGAGATGCTGTTTTTCCTGAAAGAGTGGTCAGATGCTGGGAGGTGGTGCAGTCACCAACCCTGGAGGTGTTCAAGGAACCTTTAGACTCTTTGTTGAGGGGCATGATCTAGTGAGCATTTGGTGTAGGTGAATGGTTGAACTGGATGGTCTTGTAGGTTTTTCCAACCTTGATGTTCTGTGAAAAGCATGCATAGCATTTTTTACTTCAACATTTTTCTTAAATGAAGGCAATAAAGCACCTCTGTACTAAATCGCATGAATCTCATAAGAGCATGTTAGTTCAATAACCTGTAAAAGCACGGTCAACTGGTAGGCATAGACTAAACCAGACCCAGGGACAGTTTTGCATCCCGTCATGATAGGAGTAGACTGTCCCTTTTGGACTGTGCTGATGTCATCGTCCCTTTGGGCTCAGTCAGCCCCTCCGTTTCTTTGTTCTCTTCCATGTTGGCAAATTGGATGAAGTTTACTGTAGGCTGGAAATGGGCCCAGGGTCACCAGCTGAAGTAGTGGGGTTCTTTGATGCAAGAGTGGGGCTGTGCTGGGCTGAGAATACATGGTAGGAAAAAAAGAACGAGTTTTGGCTACAGGGAAAAGCTGGGAAGATGCCTTTTCATGGTACTAGTCATTATTCATGTCTTTGAGGTGCTATACTGAAAATGTTCACAATTGTTTGACTTAGACTTGATCAGCTAGCTTGATGTTGTAGACTAGATAAGAAGAGAAACAGAGATGTCCTCCAGCTACTCTTATGCTCTTCTGCCTGCACTGTTCTTGCTGTGAGGAGCTTTGTGTTTCACAACTACTTTACATGTGTTACAATCAAAGCAGTGACCAAGTGCTGCAAATCCTGCATTACCAGAGGTGGACAAGAAGAAATATTGTTGGGAAAGAGCATCAGTTGCTTTTGATTTAAGTATACAAGAGCTAGAAAGTACACATCTTTGTATGAGGGGCAAATAAATGAACTGTATATTTAAATGCATTTATCAGGTGTTGTGCTTGGGTTGCAGGTAAGTATATTGAGCAGTAGCGTGGCATCTACTTTCTAAGAAGCAAGTATTCATAATCAATTATTTGGTAGGTGATAGCATTATCTGTTTAGTGAATTGCTTTCAGTCCATGTGTGGAGGCTGCTCTGAAAGCAGTGCCTCCTTTTTTATTCTGTTAGCTCAGGATGTCAGAGGCTGATGTTGGTGGTATGGCAATTGAAGGTGAACCTTCCTGCCACTATCCCATTACATGCTGTTGCTGTGAGACAGATGGCAGCAAAGTGGCAGTCTGACAAAATGGTATCTGACACAGAAATGCGTATGGTACAAAGATGTGGCATTGAATTCCTGCGTGTGGAAAAAATGACACTCACTGAAATTCATTGACACTTGCTGAACATTCATGGAAATCAGACAGTGGATGTGAGCACAGTGAGGCGGTGGGTGGTGCGTTTTAGCAGTGGTGACAGCAACATGGAAGTCAAGCTGTGTTCCGGACAGTCATGCTGATTTTTATGAGTGCAGCATGCAGACTCTCGTTCATTGCTGTTGAAAATGCATTGCTAGTGGTGGTGACCATGTTGAAAAAATTTTTTGTAGCTGAGAATTTCCTCTATTAAACAATGTTATTGTGCTCTTTGTATCTGTTGTAGTTTCCATGGAAATAAATAGGAGACATTACTCAGAGCAACGCATGTATGTTGAGTTGCTATTGACTGTTAAGTGTGCTTTATGAAAATACTGGATCACTTTTAATGTTACAGAATTTTGTATTTGCATTTTGTATATCTATTTTGAAACTCGCACTGAATCTTGTATGAAGTCTGAGCATCTCAAATAAGCCTGTTTTGTTGTAATGGACATACGACAGACAGTGTCTGTTCATCTTAACGAATGTCTGCCCTTGTCTGCAGGTGAAGGTCTTGCACAATCAGCTTGTCCTGTTCCACAATGCTATTGCAGCATACTTCGCTGGGAATCAAAAGCAGCTTGAACAGACACTTAAACAGTTTCACATCAAATTGAAAACTCCTGGAACAGATGCTCCATCCTGGCTTGAAGAACAATAATGAGAGAAGAGGACCCAATGTTAACCTAAAATCTTTAATAAGAATTAAGGGTTGGGGTTGGAGGACTGTTATAGTGATTCTTGCACAGAGAGCTTTAATTTTTTTTTTTCCCTTTTATGACATTGTAAAACTGAATTTGTTGGGAAAATGGGTAACTTTAAGGTAACTAAACATAATTTCTATCATTTCAAATACAGAGCACTCGTTTTGTACGTGAAGGCTGGTGATTACTTCTGTAGCTGGGATGGGGGGAGAGGGGGGGAGGGGAAAAAAAAAAACTATATGGATTTGCACTGACAAATTATGTTTTTGATTTCTGGTCATTTTGGTGGCTAGTCCGAATATTTCCAAATGGAGATTTACATGATTTGTACCAACATCTGGTATTTTATAGACAAATAGAGAAAACATCTTTAATAATTTTCATATGACTTTTAAAAAGGAGAGAGTTAAAAGAATATTTTGCAAATTAATAATATGAGGCTTGTATGCAGTACATGCGTATAAGGCAGCAGTAGCGGTTGGCTCTGACTAATACAATTGTAGCAGATGCCTTTTTAAAAGATGTACCTTTCCATTGTAGAGATAAAAACAAAAAACACTAAAGCAAGAATCACTGGCAGTCTGAGGCTTCTAAGCACACATCTTTGCTTTGCACCAAGTGGTTTGCTGAGTGAAGCCAACCATACGATGTACTAATCTCATTTAAAATCTTACTTTATGGGAAAAGAAAAAACAACCATACTAGCCTTAAATCACAGGTATGTGCCTTTTTATAAGATATTTTCAACCAGTGTACATGATGCAAAAACCCTTTCATGTAAACGGTTTGTCGGTTCCCAGCATGGGAAAGGAGACTATAAATGCTGTTTGTTTGTACTTAGAACAAGTAAAAGCTTTAGTTGACCTTCATGGGCAGTTAGAATTTTGAGTGAGGAGATTGGGCCAGTATGATTTTTCTGTTTAATTGAAAAGCATACTTCAGCAATGAGAGCAGTGTGGAGGATACTTCTTTTTAATTTCTCCGTCTGTAGCGTAGTCCTTCCTCAAATGTAAAATTCTGTCAGTTTTATCATATCCGTTTTAAATTCAGTTTATTGGAGTCCTCATTTGCACATGTTACGTTGCTTTGTGTTCTATGAAGTAAAACTGAAATACTTCAGATATGTTATTTACAACTGTGTGGATTGTATGATTTATGTACTGTATGTTCAAATGCCTTTCAGCTGACATTCTTAAAGTTTTCAGTGCTTAACAGAATTGTAATGTAGCGGTAAATCAAACTTTTTAATCATTCCTCATTAAATTCTTGGCCTGACAGTCTTCTTTATGTTTTGATTCTGTCAGAATCTCTTGTAATAGTTAGTTTACATTCCCCAGAACGTATATCCTATGTGAATTTTGTATTCATATTAAAGATGTTTGCAGCCAAACTTCTTTGACTTGTGATGGTTAAGAGCGCAACCCAGCTTCTGCAGCGAGAGCTCTATATTTGAGTTACCAGAAATTATTGGGTAGGGATGTATGTCAGTAGTAGGTTATAACAGCAATATTGTTCATCTATTACAGAATGGTTTAATAGCATGCAAGTTGAAGTTGAATGCAAACTCAAGGAAACAAATCCTTCAGTATTCTTGATTTTTAAACTTACAGAGATAACTTCATCATATTTTACAGCTTAAATGAAGTGCTGGTTTCCAGTTTTCTCTGAATCTTGGCATGTATATGGTGTGATGGTACAAGCGAGAAGTTAACTGCATGATTGTGCAGCTCAGATGGAAAGTGCAGATAGTAGCATCGGTGATGAATGCAAACATAGTGATTACAATTGAAATATCAGCCCTCAGAACACTGTGGGAAAGACATACATAGGAGATATACAGGGATTATGTGCTTTGGGTTTCTTTGAAAGAGTAACGGTGGCTTGGAACTGCTGGAGTGTCTTCACCTGGAAGAAAAGGTTTGAAAAGAGAAATTACTCAAAATTGGTGTAGTGTTTAATAGCAGAGATAACGGAGAATGATTTCCATTTTGCTCACTAAAGCAATTTTTAATTGATTGCCTCAGAGAGGAGAATCTTGTGTTCAGCTGGTGGATAAGGTACTAGCAACTTCCTTTTATAGTATGTGAATGGAGGTGAAGAAAGTTCAAATATATTTTTATTTTGTATGGCTTGTACAAACTGATTTTCTACTCTAATGTGCAAGATGCTCTTTAGCATACTTCATGCTTTGTCAAGCCCTTACAAAGACCTCTGACTGCAAAATGTATCTATAGCTGTGTTTAAAGAGAAGTCTATGCAAGCAGAGCTCAGTAACACTATCATTAAAGTAACAACTTGATTCCGATCTTTTTAACAGATTCTCCCAACAATTTTATCTCTGTTCTGTCTCTGCTTCAAAAAATGATCAAAGTAATATAAAAACAAGGCAAAACATCCCCCTCACCTTTTCTGTTTTGAACTGAACTGGAGGCATGTTCAGTATGTCTTCTCTGCTTCTCTGCCCCAGCTCTTTATTGTGGTGTTAGAACAATGATAAAGTATCATTATTCAGCATTCCATATCTGCAATTACCTTCAGATTTTTGTCTGGTTATCTTTTTCATGCTGCGTACTTAATAAGGAGGTTGTACTAGTCACTGTTTTCTTCATTAGTTGTTAATCTTTTCATGTTTTGTGATCACCCTTACCCTAAATTTATCCTGCTACTGGGAGGAAAGTTTTGTGAAATTGATTTCTTTTTTTTTCTGTAATATGCACAGAGGTGACTTGCCTGTTTTACTTTTCTCTGTTCATCTTGTTGCTTGTCTTTGTAGGTGTAGATCACAGCTGCTATTGTGGCTGTGATAACATCTCTGAAGTGCAGGAATCTGACAGAGAACAGAATAAACCTGAAACAAACATTCTGTTGGGGCTTCTTACTGTTCATGGCAGTGTAAATGCATTGGCTCAGTCAGGAACAGTTCTGCTGTCAGCAGTGTGCTCCCAGTTAATGGTACTCGGCAAATGGTATGTCCTACTATGCTAATTAAAATAATAATTACACACCTTACTGCCTTTTAAAGAATATTGAAGGTTGTAAATTCAAGTACTTGGGAATTAAATAGGACTAAAAACAAGCGTTGCCTGTTCAGTCTTGATTTGCCTTTCTTACCTATATGTATGCATCATGCTGGTTTTATGTGATAGGGGTAATTAATTGCAGGGCTTTGTTGCAAGAGGTTAACTTATCATGGTCATTAATTTTGAAACCAAATAGAATATGGTTTCAATGCATCTGAAGTGTGGCAATTAGCTTTCTCTCCTGCTTTTGTCCAGGCACAGTAGGATTGAGGGCTTGTAGTGAAGGTAACTACCTCATTTGTTCAGTGTTCTTACAGCTTGATCACAAGCTGTTCTTACAGTTTAATCACAAAATTCATCTTCAGCCTACAGCATTAGAAGCTCTTCATGCTCTGGAAAAAGCACAGGACTTACACAAGACTTTTTCTCCTCTAATGAAAAAGCAATGCACTAACGTACCTTGAGAACTGTCTTGAGTATTGTATTTAACAGGTAATTTTAAAATATTGACACTGGGACTTCTGTTTGGAGAGTGCCAGCCCATCTCAACGCTATCTGTTTTAGGGAGGTGTGTTTGGTGCTTATTATAGGTGGGGCTCTTTGCTTTACCTGTTATTAAAGTTGCCCAATGCTTCCTACTGTGAAGACCTGTTCTCGGCTGCTTGTGCCTCTGAAATTTAGCCATGTGGGCAGAACTTCTGCAGGCTCTGTGTTCACATTTTTCTTGGGGAGGATTTTCAACTTAATTTGCTAACGTTGTGTTTCAAAAGCTGAAGGAAAATATCCGACAGGATGAAGGAAAGTTAAGGATTTAATTTCGTATCTGGCCAAGCTCCTACTGCCCTGCTGCCGAAGCCTTGAGCTCCCGAGGAAGGTCAGTGCTGGTTCCGAGCGGAGTAGCAGCTCACCCTGCCACAGGGGGGCTGGGCTTCGTGTCGGGAAGCTGCGAGGGGCCTGCACGGGTGAAGGTAGCTCTCACGTGCCGCCTCCTGCCGCCATGGGCGGCAGCAGCGCTCAAGAAGGACGGTACAGCTGCGCTGGATGTGCTTTTGTCCTCCCGCCGCTCCCGGCTCCGCTCCCCGTCCCTGCCGGGGCTCCTACACGCCCCGCAGCCCGGCGCTTCCTGCCCGGACGCGGATGGCAGCGGCTCCCCAGCGGTCCTCGCTTCCCCTCAGCCCGGGGGGATGCGGCGCCCCGGTCGCGCTGTCACCTGCCGCGGCCCCGCCCGCGCCGCGCGTGCGCGTAACCCCGCCCGCTGCCCTCGGCTGCGCTCCGGCGGCGCGATGCGAGGAGACGGCGGCTGGGCCGGCTGCGTGGTGCCGCCCGGCGGAGGTGAGCTGGCCGGGGCCGCGCGGCGGGGCGGAGGGCTCGGCGCTGCCCCGTTGCCGGGGTTCCGAGGCTGCGGCGCGGGGGCGGCCGCCGAGCGGGGCGGGGTGGCGGGGGGCGGCGGGGGGGGGGGCGGGGGCGCGGGGGGGGCGGCGGGGCCGGGCCCGGCCCTGGGGGCAGGGCGCGAGGGAGCGACGGGCGCGGGGCGCCTCGGAGTGCCGCAGCCGTCCTACGTCCTTCCGTCCGAGCGGCTCTCCACGCCGCCGCTCCGGCACCTCGGCACCGGGTAAGGGCGTCCCCGGGCAGCGGAGTTTCTCGCGCGGTCTGGGTCCCCTCCTAGGAGGAATAGGGTGAGTGAAGCGGCTGGGAGCGGGAATTAATCCTTTTTATTACCAATACAGAGGAGCTGGAGCCGCGCCCCCTGACGAAGCGCCGGGGAGGGAGGCCCCTTCCCGGCCCCGCAGAGCCGCATGCCGCGCTCGGGCTGCGCGGTGCCGGCAGTGCAGCAGGCAGTCCCGCGGCGCTCCGCGGTGCCGGCGCCCCTCGGCCCCACCTGCGCTCCGCTGCCTGCCCACGCGCGGCTCGGCCGTCGCCGCCGCCTTCTTAAGAAACGAATTGCTTCAGTCTTCTGATCCGGGGAGCAAGTTGCTCCCACAGTGCGTTTTCCAAGTTAGATGAGGTTGCCTGAAACAATGAAACGAAATGCTGCTTTTATGCCAAATACGGGCACAGTCGGGACGTGCTCTGGCTCCTCGGGCTACTTTGGATAACAAGCACCGGGTAGAGAAGCGTAGTTGAGACCTCTCAAACGTTTGGTCTCGCGTGCCTTTCTTCCCTTCAATCTGAAGGGTGCGAAGGGGACCCTCGGGAGGCAGCTTTGCAGAGCTCCGTGCCTGCCGTGGCCGGCATCTGCAGACCGCGGTCCTGCCATCCGCGTCTCTGCCTGAAGGCACGGCGGATGCCGCTCTCCGTGCCGTGCCTCCGGAGCTGCCTTACCTCTGCCGCGTCCCGTTCCCTGCTCCGGGCTGGCAGCTGCCTCACCTAGAGTGGAGCAGGGCTCGGTGGCTTGAAAACAGCTTTTCTGCTCTATCAGCCTTCTCATCTAGGTCGGGATGTTTTCCTGCATGGTGTACTCCGCTCCTTGCTCTAGGAGTGTCTCTCGTTAACTCCGCAGCGCTCGGGCTGAGATCGGTCCTTTTCCACGGGGCTGCCTCTGCGTGGGTGCTGGGACTGGTGATTCACCCCTCTGGCCTGATTTTCTCGGGGTTTGAGTCCTCTCTCCTCAAGATTTGTTGGAAATTTCCAAGTCAGGCTCCCGCACGTTGCCCGGGGGCATGGCAGCTCTGCCTCCCTGTCTCTTTTTTTTTTTTTTTTTCTCCTCTTTAACACGTGGGAACTGGAGTTAGGAATTAATAACTGTTGAATGCAGCTTTGTGTCAGTGGAAGACGGTGGATACATGTTGCGTCCCAAGGTAAACGAAGAAAAGGTTTTCCAAGTTGAGTATTTCTTTAAATTAATGCAACGGTTAATTGCTCCGAGTGGTTAATTTCTCTCCAGCACCTTGCACCTGCGTTTTCATGCCTCTGTGCCTCTGTGATGATGAAGTTGGGAGGAGAGGAATGAGCACAGAGCTCTGTAATAGCAGCTGGATATTAATGCTAATTTGAATTTGAAACCCTCTATCCTGCTCTGCTTTCTTTGTGGCTCTTCCCCTTTTTACCCTGCCATTAAAATGCTTTCCATCTTTCCTATGGTTTAAATGTCACACAGTTTCCATATGAGGTGGAAAAAGATGAAAATCCGAGGCGAGAAAGTGGAGTCTATTGCATTTTTTGGGGAGAAAAAGTGAAGCGGATCGTTTTGTGTCAATTTCCACTGGCTTCAGAGAAGCTGTGTGTAGCTGAGGCTTTTGCAGATCAAGAGAGAATTTGCCCCGAGGGCTGTTTCCGTACCTGGCTCTGTTTGCTCATGAGCACCCTAATGATGGATCACTGGCAGAAATAGCAAAGGTTTTCGTCACCATTATCGGATGTCAAATTGATCGGGACTGCCATTAGCTCCTCTTGAGCACCGCTGAGTAGACACGTAGCTAAACCACTGCCAGACCTCTGTGCTGGTGCCAGGGCATGACTTCAGCTCTTTCTGGCAAGTTTTCTGTCATTGCTTTGTGCTCAGCAGCTTTCCTTGTTCAGGTCTATCTCGGTTTTCATTGTGAGATAGCTTCTTGTTTTGGTTTGTTTCATTTTTTAGTAAATACCCAAATGTTTCTGAGAATGTTTTTGTAAAACATTCTTTGTTAGTCTGCGTATGAAATACGGTCATTTTTCTCTGAAAGGTGTAAGGAAAATGAAGCTGACAGGTGCAGCTTGTCAGGATTGTACCTTTTACTAAAGTTGGATTCTTACTTGACAATTCACTGCCATCGGCAGTATCTTTGTTTGGTAGGTGGCAGTGTGAGAAAACCGCTCAGAACGGTTGTAATTCCTGTTCTGCTGCTTTGAGAGGGAACCTCATCGAGAGATGCAAAACCCTTACCAGCTGTGGAAAACTCCGGTGCTGGGCAGTTCTCTCCCTGCTTACTGCACTTGCTCTGGTAACCTGGGTGCTGAAATCAGCAACGAGGGGCAGCTTTGTCAAGCTGGTGGCTATCATGCCTGAATTGCGCTGTGTTTTTGGTGTGGGGGGCAGCATGCAGTCACTGACCCGAGTTGCCTGTCTGTTGCTGCAGGCTGTGAAGATGCTCCACCAGCAGAGTAGCGCGTGAAGCAGTGTGACCCATGCTCCAGGCAGCCCCGTGGAAGTAGCGCTCTCTCCTCCCGGAGAGGCCTAACATGCATGTTATGAATTGTCTCTCCCTGGCCAATGACAAGGAGAATGGAGCTCTCTCGGTGGCAGCAGGATTGATGAGTGAGGACCCGCCGGCCACCTCCCCCCCCCCCCCGCCGCCATGCCCCCCAGCAGAGGCCCCCCCTGCTCCGCCGCTGCCCCCGCCGCCCCCCCCGCTGCCAGGGCCCAGCCTGCCTCTGCACCCACAGCTGACCAACGGGCATGACGGTCACAGCAGGAAGAAACGGATGAGGAGTTTCTTCTGGAAAACCATCCCTGAGGAACAAGTCCGGGGCAAAACCAATATCTGGACGATTGCTGCGAGGCCACAGTACCAGATCGACACCAAGACGATCGAGGAGCTCTTTGGGCAGCAGGAGGAAACCAAGCCACCAGACCCGAGGAGCCGGTCATTAAAAGCTTCGTTTAAAGAGACTAAAGAGGAGGTAAGAACCAAAGAAAAATCTCTTTTGCACAGTGATGTATGTAACACCATATCTGGTGTGAATTCCGTCTTGCCTTTCTGTTGTAGTTCGTTCTTAATGCAAATGTGTTGTGGTTTGAAGGGAAGGGGGACAACAGGGAGGATCAGCTCTGTTCTTGGTGGCACGGATATGTTTTTCAGAGTGCTAACTGCTTTTTTTTATTGTAACTGTGTAAGTGCTGCTGTTCTGGCCTCCTGTTTAAGTATATGGAAATGAAAGGAGCCGAAGGCGCTTTGTTTAATTTTTTTGGAGAGCTCTTGAGCTTTTGGTGTGAAATGTGTGTGTTGCAGTCTTTCTCTTTAGCTCTTCATAGAATCCTTAAGGCTGGAAAAGACCTCTTTGATCATTTAGTCTAACCCTCAAACCATCACCATCATGCCCACTAACCATGTCCCTCAGTGCCACAGATGGCACTTCC